AAAGGATCACGTAGCTTACGAGTATTTCTTATTAATATAATAAAATTGTATGCAGACTATGGTCATTTGGAGAGGATGAATGAAAGAAGAATTACGAAAGAGATTTATCGAGCAAGAACGAATGGAGATGTCGGTAGGGGGCGCCCTAGATGGACGTATGTCGACCAAATAGGTAACGTGCTAAAGAAGGGCCAAATTAAAAGTGCCCGTAACCGGCGAGCGTGTATGAAAAGATTGATGAATGTGGAGGAAGCGAAAGAGGTTTGTTTGAATCGCAGCATTTGGTGTTCCTTTGTTTCTGCCTACCCTAATGGGAGACAGGCGTGACAGATATGTATGTATGTATGCATGGGAGATGATTAATAGATTGATATTAGGATTTCAGTGTAGTCCCGGCATAGAATATGCCATTATTTCTTTCAAGTGGGCGTCGTAAGAGGCGACTAAGGGAGGGAGAGAGACAGGCAGCAGCGTCCTTTTTAAAACATCTCCAAAGCCTAACTGCGGTTGCCAATCTGCCTGCCAAGCGTGGCAACGACAGTTAAATTTGAGGATTTCTGTGAATTATAGGAGATTAGACCAGACAAAAGTACAAAAGTCGATTGCTTGGGTACCTCTGTCCCAACACAAATGTGTTTCAATCGTGAAGCAGTTGTGTTTGCATGGCTGTGTTTCGGTTTGAAGGGTGGGATATGGCGTGAATTTACAGGGTACAGAGGAATAACATCTGAATCCTCAGGAATGGTAACGCATGGGGGGTATCATGGGCGTAACAGTATACACTGTTATGTCCATAGTACTGCTCATGTCTATAGGCGACGGTTACCACTTTCCATCAGGTGGGCCGTCAGCTTGTTTGCCATTCTAAGTTGTATAAAAAAAAATCATTATATCAGTCATCTACTGTTCACTGCTGATTATATGCCTCCCCCATAAGAGGGGGTTCGCTAGTAGTTGCCACGCTTGGCAGGTGGATTGGCAAACGCAGTTAGGCTTTAGTGATGTTTTAAGAGGGACGCTGCTGCTCATTTCTCGACTATTAAGTTCTCTAAGTTGCCTCGACGATACCTGCGGGAAAGAAAGTGGAAGAATAGGCCACTATTCTTTGCTGGTACTGCACGGTATAAAATAAGAGATAAGTCTTAATTGAAAATTTATAAGACACGGTGTACAGACAGATAGGGTGTGCAGATATAAAGATGGACAAACATTTTAATTATAGTAAAGATTTGAAAGATTGTTCCACAAAAACTATCAGCTTCAATTGTGACCAAAGCAGTTATTTCGATTTAGAAACTAAATTACTGAACCGATCTTGATGAAATTCTGTTCTCTCAGAACAATCTGTCAGAAGGTCCTTTAGAATAGACAGTTTTTCCAAGAGATTTCAGCATGGAGTTTTTCAAAAAAGAGGTAAAGAGGTTTCTTCAGGGTTGGCAACGCGCCTATAATACCGGGGGTATTGCTGTCGTTTATAGGCTACGGTAACCTCTTACCATCAGGTGGACCATATGCTTGTTTGCTACCTCAGTGGTATAATGCCATCATAATAACACCGTTACTTATAAAAGGATATGTAAAATTGTTCTTTTTTTATTTATAATTTTTTTAGTATCATGGGCGAAACAGTATACTCTGTTATGTTCATAGTACTGCTCATGTCTATAGGCGACGGTTACCACTTACCATCAGGTGGGCTGTCTGCTTGCTTGCCATTTTAAGTTGCATAAAAAAAATAAAAAAATTATAAAAAAAACAATTTTACAAAGGGTTTATAAATGACGGTGTTATGAGACATCGAGTACTTTCTTAAAGTCGCTTAAAAACGCGTACTCTCCGGCTCTTTCCAAACACATAAATATTACAAGTGTGTTTGTTCGTTTTTTTTTTTTTATATATCAGTAGCAATAAAAATAGTCTAGCCAAAACAGACTATTTATAGATTGGAGTGGCATGACCCTCTGTTTAGGGATGTACTCGTATGCCCCATATTATGTATGTTTATATGTAATAATTAATTAGTTCTGATCATTACATTGGGGTATGTTTGAACAAATATTTGTAATTATCACGAGACGTAATTGTGACAATATTCTGGTATGCTTTTGTAAAAAAGTAAACTATACAATTATACATACCCCCTTACTTTCACGTGGGTGTCGTAAGAGGTAAATAGGGGAATTTAATGCTGAAGGAATGGGTAGCAGCGTTTCTCTTAAAACATCACCATTCTCTTAAAATATCAAATGGGTTTATAAATGACGGTGTTATGAGACACCGAGAACTTTCTTAAAGTTGTTTTTTTTTATACAACTTAGAATGGCAAACAAGCTGACGGTCCACCTGATGGACAGTGGTAACCGTCGCCTATAGACATGAGCAGTACCATGGACATAACAGAGTATACTGTTTCGCCCATGATAACCCCCAGGCGTTGCCATTCCTGAGGACTCAGATGTTATTCCTCTGTGCCCTGTAAAATTCACGTCATATCCCACCCTTCAAACCGAAACACAGCCATGCAAACACAACTGCTTCACGGTATAAACAGAGACAGAGATATCATGCAGCCAGCTATGTCCAAAGTCTCCCTCTATTATTCTGTGTAACCGAATATTTCTAAATGTCAACAGACCACGGCCATTCGACCGAATTGTCTGATAATATTACCAAGGAAATACAACTAATTAACGTCGGAGGCTCATTTATTTGGTAATTATTATTTTTATATTAATTAGATTCACTTCTGATTCATACAATTAATAACATAAAATTATATCTTTTATATACCGAAAATCAGTTTCATCAGAAACGATGTGAAGGTCCCGGCACAGAATAGTGCACCTCTTCATTTCTCGTGGGTATCGTAAGTGAAGACCAGGGTAGCTTATTAATGAATGAGTATATTTTATTTGCATTATACAATATAGGGAATAAGCAAGAGAATTTACAAACACAACGATACAATTATATAAGTACAGTAAGGCGGATGGATGGAGGGATGAGCAGTAGCGCCCTTTTTGAAACATCACCAATAGCCAAACTGCGGTTGCCAATCTGCGTGCCAAGCGTGGCAAAACTGCAAAGCTGTGTATATTCCCATGGTATTATTCAATTCTATAGGCAACGGTTACCACTTTCCATCAGGTGGGTTTTAAGCTTGTTTGCCATTTTAAATTGCATGATTTGTATAAGTATGGGAGAGGAATTATTAGTAACAAGAATTGACGTGCCTATCCTGTTCCCCTGGAAACCATCGTGGTTATTTACTGATGACGCACGCCGGTGTATACCGATAGCGCAGACGAGTTTTTTTTTTATACAATTTAGAATGGCAAACAAGCTGACGGCCCACCTGAGATGGAAACTGGTAACCGTTGCCTATAGACATGTGCAGTATTGGAGAAATCCATGTGGATTTATTAAGTAAAGTAAAGCGGATTACCAGCCCAATTGCTAGCAATATATCCTATCAGGTCGATCTCCACGTGGTCTCCCCTCGAGACCATCGTGCTGAATTCAGGTGTATTCATCACGATGGGCTAACTGACCTGCCATTTCATTCTCACCTGGTTTGCCAGTTATTGCTACGCTTGGCAGGCGTGTTGCTAACTGCAGTTAGGTTTTGGTGATGTTTGAAGAGGGATGCAACTATGCCTATGCCTCGACCATTAAATTTATATACATCTTCGTATTATGCGAAAAATTTTATATAGCGTTTTGGCAAACTTGTTTCATTTTTTTTTATCATTTATTATTATTATATTTATTATACTGTTAGATAAAAAAAAAGTCTATTGAATTTCGAGTATAAGATATTAAGTACAAGATACCTATCTATATAATTATATCTCAAATTATAGCAATAATATATTTTATCATAATCTTAATAGGTACATCTCGATCACGACTCGAAATCATGTCTGGAGTTTACCGTTTGAAATAAGAATTAGGAATATATTATTTTTAATTATTTTTCCGTTAAGAGAGGAATAATTTGTTAAATTTCTTGTTACAATAAGACAAAATTAGTTTACAAAAAGAAATAATAAAAATAAATAAAATATAATGAAATAAGAAATGTAGTTAAAATAAATATACATAATTACGTATCGAATAATTACAATAATATTTTTTTATTGAAAGCATAATATTTGTAATAGGTACGTCTCAGAACAGTTTTAAAAAAATGGGGGTTCTAACAAAACCCAACAGTCTAGCAGTTAGGGTAAGAATTTACTTTTTTTTTATATAATACAAATGGCAAACGAGCATGCGGTTCACTTGATGGTAAATGACTACCGCCGCCCGTGATCATCCACAACACCAGTGGCACTGAAGGTGTGCTGCCGGCCTTGTAAAAAGGAATATGCTCTTTACTTGAAGGTGATGTTGTCGTATCGGTTCGGAAATACTGCTGCTGGAGGTTGATCCCAAAGAGTGGTTGTGTGTGGAAGAAAGGGACTTGAAAAATCCACGGTGGAGGACCGCCACTCGTCCAGATGGTTGGGATAGAACTTTAGTTTGTGGCGGATTGCACGGTGGTGTAAAACAGCAGCAGGTATCACACCGAATAATTCCTTAGAATACTCCCTGTCTATATTTAATAAAAATAGTGATTTAACATATCTATAAGCAGTAGGCCTTCCTCGTAAAGAAAGTTTTACTGGTAGTTGCTAAGCTTGGCAACCCAGCTGGGATTGGCAACTGAAGTTAGTCTTTGATGATAGTTTAAGAGAGACGTTGCTGCCTATCCCTCGATCGTTAAGTTCACTTAGTCATCTCTTACGACATCCACGGGAAAGGAAGTGATGGCCCATTCCACGCCAGGGACACAACGTAGGTAATAAATTGCTAAAACGTCGGATTCAAACGATAGTAGTTTAAGAGAAAGGCGTGGCATATAATATGTAATTACGTTATAAATAATCAGAGCAATATATATTTATCGTGATCATAAAACTGTAATAGGTGCGTCTCAGTCGCGAGGCGTATTAACAACGTCTGCGATCCACCAATTCGAAATTGATAAAAAAAAATCATTAGATTTTTCAACGTGACACGAAATAGAATGAATCGTCTATAGCTCTCCTCGTCACACGTTCGTTATCGTTGTTTCATCATCGAGCCATACGGTAACGGAACTTAAATTTTATATTGTCACTTGTTTGACACGCGAGACGAAGGTGTGAGATAAGCTATATGATATCCCAATACTCGAAGTCATATCCGAACAGTTGTGGCCTGGCACAGAGCGAGGCAACTGTTTAGTTTTCAATATAAAAATAAATAACGAAAATATAATTTATATCGTTTAAGAAAGTCGACATTATTCTCGTTATTGTCGTTACTCTTTTTAGTGTTTTTGGAAGTGCTGTGTGGAAATGCTTGGTGTTTCCGTTATCATGGTAAGTTTTTTCTTATTTAAATTTAATTTATTTTATTTTATTAAAATTTAATAAGTAATATAGTATTTATTATTATGATATCAATTATTTCTATCTACTTTAACCTTTTTTTACTTGCACTTGTATAAATTTATAATATTTTTAGTTTGTCCCTTTATTCATTTATTAATTAATAAAACATTAAAGTTACAGTCAATTTTGTGATATTTGTGTATATATTTGTTATATTATAGTATATAAGCATATAGTAACACTTGGAAAGTCATTAAAATAACTAAATAAATAAATAATTGCTTGTTTTCTCTTAATATATTCAAAAAGTGAATATACAAAAGCATATAAATTCATAAATAAATAAAAGTGTACTCTAATTGGATTAATTAAATTTGAAAATAATAATGCAATAATGCAAATGACATGTGAGATTGTAAAACGAATAACTTAAGCTACATAATTTAAAAACTGCATATAGTCGAGTTTCTTACAAGTTCTTCTCAGCAAAATATGCTTGTCAAACAGAATGATACGGTACAAAAAAATTAATTAAAACGAATTTGTATTTGATCATGGTTAAATTGCTTAGACTAACTTAACCGTAGTGGTATTGATTTTTTAGCACCCTAAACTATTGATTTTTATTATCAGAAATTCAAAGGCATGAGGCGGTACAGGGCTTGGGTGACACAGTATATACTATGACTGCCATTTATTAAATGTCTATTCATGTAAACTAAGCAAATCAGTGCAGAAAGAGACATCGTTTGGAATGACTAAACTGTATTAATAGTTGTAGCGCTTCAGCTGTTCGCTAACAACATGCTTTCTCACTGTACTGGGTTGACTGGAAGAGATCTCTGTCAGAGATAAGTACACCCTTGCTCACAACATTTATAAATACATTATATTATATGTAACTTACAAGTGCAATAAAGAATATATAAATAAATAAGCTGATGGCTCATTTCATGGAAAGTGATAACCGTTACCTATAGACATAAACAGCGTTGTGAACATAACAGAATACACTGTGACACCTATATACCTCTGTTCTTTCTAATATCACCGCGACATCCCATGTATATAGCCGGTATCTTGCCTCCTCGGCTACCAGACTGTGCAAAAGGCGTGGTTACCTCTGTCTCACTGGGGGGAAAGGGATAGTTAATAATGAAGTCTAATGGCCCCATTGCTAGCAATATGCCCTATCAGGTTGACCTCCATGCTGTTCTCCCTGTAAATCATTGTGATTAAGTCTTGGTCAATTCGTCAGGATGGGTTAAATGACCTGCTTTCATCCTTACCTATTATTTCTCACTGGTGCCAGTGTATACCGCAGGCGGGCAGTGCCATTTTCACCCATAAAACCCCTGTTTCACTCGTGTTTCTATCAAGAAACATCTGTATTTGCATGGCTGTGTTTCGGTTTGTAGGGTAGACATATGGCTGTGAAATTACATGGTACGGAGACATAATATCGTAGTCTTCAAGAATGACTGTATGATAGTTACCATACCATCATATTATATTCTATATGATCCATGGGGCTGTTCATGTCTATAGGCGACTGTTTAGCATTCTAAGCATGATGAATAAAACTCGCTTATTCTTTGGTTTATATTGGTCATTTTAGTTCTTTTGTGTTTTTTCTTATGTCGAATTCTATCCATGTAAAGAATTTCCTAGCTAGCTTCCCCATAACTCACTGAGTTTACCACCAACCATGTAAAGGAGCTGCCTACTGCCATTTGTCTGATTCAACGGTGCTCTGATCCTATTGACTTACCGCTGGGACTCTTCGTTCCTTTCGTACTGCTTATATCTTCATATGGAGAAATAGAAATGAAATGAAATGAGATTTATTCATAAAAATATACCTATAGTTTCTTATCTAATATGAATATTATTGTTTTAAAAGGGTACAGTAGTTATGGTTTTAGAAATGGGCTTCTAAATAGGTAGAAAAGCGTGGCAGTAATGTACAGGTCTCAAATGGTTAATTTTTTTATTACATATATATATTATACTAACATTGTTATAAGATTTTAGTTATCGATACATATATGAGGATGTAAATGTATGAAAAAATGGATGAAAAACCCTTCAAACAGAAACACAGCCATGCAAACACAACTGCTTCACGGTAGAAACACGAATGGGACAGAGGTAGTCAAACGAATTTTATGCAGTTGTGTTGTGTCCATTGTACTGCTCATGACTATAGGTGACGGTTACCACTTTCCATCAGGTGGGCCGTCAGCTTGTTTGCCATTCTAAGTTGTATAAAAAAATAGTCTCTTTCTAGTCTAATATATAAAATTCTCGTGTCACGGTGTTTGTTACCAAACTCCTCCGAAACGGCTTTATCGATTTTTATGAAATTTTGTGTGCATATTGGGTAGGTCTGAGAATCGGCCAACATCTATTTTTTATACCCCTCAATGATAAGGGTGACCCACCTATAAAATTTTGTTTTTTATTTCTTTGACAATTTTTTTTATTTTTATTATAATATGATTTAGCATTGAAAAATACATACAACATCAAATTTTCACCCTTTTACGATCAACCCCTGTTTTTTAATCGCGATTTTTATAAGGTAAAGTTTACAGGTTGCAAGATGGTAATCCAATATAATAATTGTAGTAGGATAAATTTTCATGTATAGTTCTAGAAATAATGTATATGGTAAAACAACGTTTGCCGAGTCAGCTAGTAATTGTTTAAAAATATCATTTATATAATTTATTTTAAATGTATATATTTATACGACTTTAACATATTTATATATTTTTATTTAACTATTTATAAATGTGTACATGTTTACCTATCATTTCGCGGGTCACAGCGCGACACAAAACTATAAATATCTGGTAATAAACAAGCAAGTTATAATTGGCTGAGATAAATATAATGTACATAGATTCAGCTTGCGTACACAGCTTAGTAGTTGTCAGAGGACTGACAAAAAGAAAAAAAAAGACTTAAATTATTATCGTTGACAATACAGCGACATCTAGTTCCGAACTAAGTAAAGCTTGTATATTTTAATATATCTCGTATAATTTATTTTTGTATATTTTTTTTCTCTCTCTATATATATATATTCATTTCTTAGTAATACTTTTTTTTATGGGTGAAAAAGGTATGGTAACCCCGCCTGCGCTAACGGGATACGCTGGCGAAGCACCAGTGAAGGGTGATCGATGAGAATGAAAACAGGCCAGTAAGCCCATCATGATGAATTCATCAGGAATTAACCATGATAGTTTCCAGGGGGAACCGCGAGGAGGTCGACCTGGTTGGGTATATTGTTAGCAATGGGATTCTCAGTCTCTATTACTAACAATCCCTTTCCCCCCTCTTAGTAATATTAATATTATGCATATAAAACATCCAGACCAATCATTGTATTGTAAAATCTTTATTGTACATAATTCATACTGTATACATAAAAAGATTTGATATACAATGGCGGACTTATCCCACAAAGGGATCTCTTACAGTCAACCTTTGAGAAGCTGAAAGAAAACTGTAGAATGTACAAGGCTAATAACCGTACAGTTAAAGATAAACTAAATAATACTCAGTAAAAAATTAAATATATATTACAATAAAAACAGCTTTTTAATCGGTGATAATGGAATGGTAACTCCACCCGCGCTATCGGTATACACCGGCGGGGCACCAGTGAAGGATGATAGGTGTGGATGAAGCAGATCAGTTAGCCCATCGTGACGAATCCAACAAGAACTGTTCACGATGGTTTCTAGGGGGAACCACGTGGAGGTCGACTTAATAGGGCATATTACTAGCAATGGGGCTGTCAAACTCCATTACTAACAATCCCTTTCGCCCCAATAAAAACAGCTGTATACACCTACATCATTGTGTATTATCATACCAGCCGTGACCTGTCCACTGTTAAACATTGTTTTTACTCTAATAGGGTGGTTTGCCGATAGTTGCCACACTTGGCAAGTAGGTTGTCAACCGCAGTTAGGTTTTGGTCATGTTTTAGAAGAGACCATGCTGCTCATTTCTCGAACATTAAGTTTCTTTAGTCGCCTTTTACTTTATCTATGGGAAAGAAAGGAGCGGCCCAATCTACGCCGGGACCACCAGGCAACCACACTTAGACCAATACAAACAGTTAAGCTTATGAATACAATAAATAAATAAATAAATGTTTGTATTGTATGAGGATCGAACCTGTGACCATCAGATGGTAAAGCAGTGTGTCAAATTTCTTCAAGATTCTTTCTATTCATCTTAATTTTGTCTTTTTTTTATGCAACCTAGAATGACAAACAAGCTGACGGCCCACCTGAAGGAAAGTAGTAACCGTCGCTTACAGACATGAGCAGTACCATGGACATAACAGAGTTTACTGTTTCGCCTATGATACTTCCCATGCGTTGCCATTCCTGAGGACTCAGATGTTATTCCTCTGTACCCTGTAAATTCACTACCATATCCCACACTTCAAACGGAAACACGGCCATGCAAACACAATTGCTTCACGGTAGAAATACGAATGAGACAGAGGTGCTCAAGCAAATGACTTTTGTACAAAGTCTCCCTCTAGTGGTTGTCTAGACTGGTGTAGGTTTTATGGTTCCGTACACAAGTGGCGCACGTTTATTGTATTCATCTTTGTGGTGAATGAAAGAATTGTAAAAATATTTTTATATCCATGCTTGGGGTTCACGCTTGCTTGACTTCACGTTTCCCAGTTTAAAAGTTATAATAGAGATTTATTTTTACATAAAAATTGGTGTAAATCGATTTCAAGATTCAGTATTTTTATTTGCATTTCATATTGTTTAGAGAGTGTGGTTGCTTAAATAAAAAAAAAATACATTTACTCCTATAAAACCATGGATGATATAACAATAGTTTTAATAAATTTTGTCTATTTATCTGTCGTTATGTTTATGCTTGTATTACGAAAAATTACTGCATCAAATTGGATACGGTTGTATTTCAGATTTAACTTAAAACTGGTGTATGTTTCATCTTGGCACGCCTTCTAGAAGTAGTATATAGGTTGTCTGTAAGAGATTGTCCTAGCGATAAGACCCCTTTTGTACCTTTATGTGTATATTTCAATCTGTATTTATGTTACTGTATTTCACTTGAATTATTCACCTGTCATTGTATATTTTTGTTTATGGTGCAATAAAGAGTTAAATAAATAAATAAGTAAATATATTTAATTAGTTTTCCTACTTTAGAAAATGTTAGTTATTCAATAAAAATGTTTTCTATTCCATTCCATTCTCTAATCCAAGTTTCCCTAACCTAGTTAATATCAAAAACAACGTTGGCCCAATTTCGCTCTATCAGGATTACTATCAGCTATTAAGTAATTTATGATAAACATGATATTTGTTTTGATAACAAAGTTATATTTATTATTATTTATAATAAAATATATATATATATATATATATATATATATATATATATTTATTATAATTAACTGCTGGTACATAGGTATATTATATTTGTAAATATTTGGTAATAAAAACGGCGCCTCGTGTAGGTGCAAAAAAATCAATGTAAGATATTAAATATGTATATACTTAAATTAACAAGCTATTTGTGTATATTCGAACAAGGGTATTGTTATGTACAAACCGCATAGAGATTAAAAGAGATTTCGTTTTAAAGAAAAGCACTAGTTTAATTTATTGTCTCTTATCGAATTAGTTGACAGAAAAATTTAAAAATGACCATTTAAAAATATTTAAATGTAAATTTGTGTAAACACCAGAGGGAGATTTTGTACAAAAGTCGTTTGTTTGGGCACCTCTGTCCTATTCGTGTTTCTACCGTGAAGCAGTTGTGTTTGCATGGCTGTGTTTCGGTTTGAAGGGTGGGATATGGCAATGAATTTACAGGGTAGAGAATAATACCTGAGTCCTCAGGAATGGCAACGCATGGGGGGTATCATGGGCGGAACAGTATACTGTGTTATGTCCAAATACTGCTCATGTCTATAGGCGACGGTTACCATTTTCCATCAGGTGGGCTATCAGCTTGTTTGCCATTCTAAGGTGCATAAAAAAAAATAACTTTTTTAAAAGTTTATCTGAGGGAGAGCATGAAAAATTCGATATAGCATGAAAACGGTCGGGTTTTGCACCCGTACCTTCTATGTCGCCCTCTATCGAGATCTCCTATTAGTTAAATTTCATACTTCAATAACATTTCTATAAAAACATACAATTAGTAAAATTGATAAGCGTCTATTAATAAATAAATGAATGTTTATGTTTGTTTGTTCGCAGAAACCATCAATAGCGTGTATATTGCTATTCCTCTGCATAGCTGTTATAATTCGGGAATCGAACGCGCGACCGCCCTGGTTAGCGCCCGGTAGCGGCGTGTTCACTGAATCAGCAGAATGTCACACAGATGTAAGTCGTGTAACTTTTTTATTATTAATTTTTACATACATACATACATATCTGTGACGCCTGTCTCCCGTTAGGGTAGGCAGAAACAATGGAACGCCAAATGCTTCGATTCAAACAAACCTCTTTCGCTTCTTCCATATTCATTAATAAATTATTAATTATTCATTTATTAATTTTACTACTAGTTATTTCCGGCGACTTTGCTTGTGTCAATTAGTATATAAATTATCCTATCTTCTATAAAAAGTGTTTCAAATTTCATTCTAATTAATTTAGTAATTTTCGAAAGAATGAGTGTGAATAATATATAAAATCCATCAATGTTCACAATATTTCGCATTTATATCACATCATAGTTATTATTTTTATGTAGCCTTTAACTGTCCACTGCTGAACATAAGCCTCCCTCTTGGAAGGGTTTTGTCAGTAGTTGCCATGCTTAGCAGGCGGGTTGGCAACCGCAGTTAGACTTTGGTGATGTTTTAACAGAAACGCTGCAGCCTATCTTTCGACCATTAAGTTACCTTAGTCGCCCCTTACGACACTCGCGAGAAATTAAAACGTGGCCCATTCTATGCCAAGACCGAGGAACAATGAATAGTAAGGAGAATAACGAACAGACGACAGTTTATTAAAAAAAAAATGTCCTGTGTGTTTTTAATTTTTTTTTATACAACTTAGAATAGCAAACAAGCTGACGGCCCACCTGATGGAAAGTGGTAACCGTCGCCTATACACATGAGCAGTAGCATGGACATAACAGAGTATACTGTTTCGCCCATGATACCCCCCATGTGTTGCCATTGCTGAGGACTCAGGTGTGATTCCTCTGTACCCAGTAAATTCACGCCATATCCCACCCTTCAAACCGAGACACAGCCATGCAAACACAACTGCTTCACGGTAGAAACACGAATAGGACAGAGGTGCCCAAGCAAACGACTTTTGTACAAAGTCTCCCACTGGTGAACATCTGATTAAATACTCTCTGGTTAAATAACATCTTGATACATTTTTAAACATCATTTAAAATATATACATTTTAAATATAGTTTTAGTTAATTAAAACCTCTAGTAATTAACAGATAATAACAATTCGTATTTTGGTTGTTATTTACAAATAATTGATTAATATTGACCAATACAAATATAAAATGATTTAATATTAAGTGATTTATATATACTTTAATAACTTTTATCTATATACAATTAATGATATTATAGGTGATTGAAAAAAAAATTGTTGTATTATACAATTAATTTATATGACAAACGATAAGACGCAACTTAATGGATTATTTTTTTTTTGTTTTGTTTAAACATTCCAGTGTAAAAACAACGAGTGGAGTTTGATTCAGACGTAAAAAAATATATAATAAACCTATAAATAAAATATTATTTTTAAACGGTTTTATTTAGCTCGACCCGTACGGTATTTATTTATTTGGGTCAAAATTAGAAATTGGAATTTAAGCACCTTCCCGTTGTCAGATTGATCTGAAATTTGGTACACAAATTTAATTTAGATGACAATACAATATAATAAAATCAATAACATTATAACTCTAAGATGGCCGCCGATACAAAATGGCGGATTACATATTTTTCCTTAACCCCCGCAATATGGGTATCAAATGAAAGGGCTACACTAGTAATACACGATGATTATGTCAAAATTTCAAATTCAAGATGGACGCTGTTACAAAATGGCGTATTAGGTGGGGGCATGATTAGTCGTATCGAGAACAGTTGCGTCTAAGATTGTGTGACGTTAGAGGGGCAGATAAAAAAAAATAGGTAATTAGATACCTCGTTAGTAAGCGGTAGTTATACCACCCAAGTTAAGGTAACAGGTTAAAACGTACCGAGGACTGTATGGCATTAGGGTGGATAAAAATGTAATGTTGTAAGCGCTTCCCCCTCAAGATTGGGCGCATCTTGTTGTATATTAAGCCTTGCCCCTTTACTGGACTGCGGGGGGGGGGGGGTCGACCGTCAAAATGCCCCTTAATCGTGGGAACAACATGGTAACAATAAACAAAAAATATCAACAAATATAAATAAGACTGGAGGCTTACCATCAGTACTTGAAATATTTGTAGGTGCAAAAGTAATGTTGCGGTCCAACATTGACGTTACAAAAGGATTGGTAAATGACGCTATAGGCCACATTACAGAAATTTTTTGGCCTCAGTTCCGTCGAACCCAAATGTACGAAACAGATATATCATCAGTTTTAATTGACTTTGGCACAGACGGCATGCACGTTATTTACCCTAAAGCCATACAGTTTCCAGCAAAATTCAATTATGGTACGGCTGAAAAAAGGATGTTGCCCTTAGTTTTGTCATAGGCATTCACCGTCCATAAAATGCAGGGCAACACCGTCGACCATGCAGTAGTATATTTGGGTTCAAAATGGTTTGAGGAAGGACAAGCATACGTGGCTCTAAGTCGAGTCAAGTCTCTGGAAGGGCTATGTATTGAGGAATTAGATTGTACTAAATTATCAGGTAAGAAACCATGTAATAATGATGCACTGAATGAATTAAATAGAATGAGGAATATTCGGTAAACAATTTCACTAAATACTAAAAACAAGAAAATAAAAATCGGTAAAAAAACTTTTAAGTTAAACGGTTTTATTTTATGTGCACTGAAAACTACAAAATAAATAAATAGTTACTTACCTATCAACCTACGTAGGTGATCTTGGTCATTAATATCTCTGATGGTAGTGGTTGTCATAACATGAACCATGTCAGCGGCCGAAAGGCAGTTCATGAGAGAACACTAACACCAGGGTTTGCTTGGTAGGTAAACTAAGCAGCCCACACTATAACAAGTAGGTATTTTGACCTTCTAGTTCAGAAATATTTAAGTACTAGGCAGAATAGCTTTTAGGCATATTAGACTAAAATAAAAACGTGGGGCCCCTCTGAAATCATACCTATAGCAGAGCATATCTTATACTTTGGTAGATCATGAGCTCCGCGTTCGCTGGTGAAGCCGTAACGGCTGGTTATTGATGGTCAAAACCTCCAGTTACGATTATAGTAAGTCGATTCAGCGGACCCTGGACTCCGGAGCTATGAGGTTTCGGATGCGATCGGGATAAACCGCTAGGATGATGATGATGACGATTATAATAAGTCGATGCAATCCACACTTAGTATAGTAGAAAGTAATACAGAAATAGTTATTGGGCCCCACGTTTTTATTTTAGTCTAATATGCCTAAAAGCTATTCTGCCTAGTACTTAAATATTTCTGAACTAGAAGGTCAAAATACCTACTTGTTATAGTGTGGGCTGCTTAGTTTACCTACCAAGCAAACCCTGGTGTTAGTGTTCTCTCATGAACTGCCTTTCGGCCGCTGACATGGTTCATGTTATGACAACCACTACCATCAGAGATATTAATGACCAAGATCACCTACGTAGGTTGATAGGTAAGTAACTATTTATTTATTTTGTAGTTTTCAGTGCACATAAAATAAAACCGTTTAACTTAAAAGTTTTTTTACCGATTTTTTTAGATATCTGTAAATAAAAAACTGGCATTACGTCCAAAAACCTCTTAATTAAGGGATACTTATGTTCACCAGTGGTCAGTTAATGAGTTAAAATAAATTTAATGAAGTTATTCTTTTTTTATCCAGTTTAGTGGCACAAATTAATTTTGACTTCTTTTTTGTTATAAATTTATTAATGTGGTGTCAAGATGTGTGTAATAAATATATTTGATACAAATGATTGTGATATCAGGAAGGTCAAGGAATTGTAGTATGTGATATGGAGTTATAAAAATTGGGTCAATAGTGATACCACATCTCACACCGAGGGTTCCCTCTTAAAACTACTCAAATAACATTTCATTTTTTACTCTAGATATATGTAAATTGTGTATTCCCTTACTTTTAAGCGATTTCAAAATGAAATAAGTTTTGAATTTGCTTTCAAATCATTTGGATTTATCTTTATTACAATAATAATTATTGTAAAATACTATAGTTTTTTTTTACAATAATTGTAAAGTATTCCAATAAAAGTACAAGGTTTGTACACTATACTAAAGAGTTAATTAAACGGTCGAAAATTTTATAATAATTTCCACTGATACAATATTATTTATCAGTCCATTAATTATAAAGTAATAATAATAATTCGTATATTTATGCTTAAGATAATTAAACGTACCAAGACTATAAAAGTAAATTGACCGAACTGAAGTGCAAAGCACATACTTCTCTTTTTTTTAATGTGGCAATGCTGTCAAAATTTACTGTTCCTTCCTTAAGACTTCGTATAGGTTGTGAGGGTTAGCACATTCCCATTTACAAACTAACTTATGCGATTCTTAACTCAAGTGTGGGATATGGCTGTGAATTTACAGGATAAGAGGAAGTGGCTATGAGTTGTTATGATCACTCACTATTAGGTTAGGTGTATGATTGTTTATCTTCCAATATTAATAAAATCAATAATGATTGGTGTTGTCATCTACCTATTAATTTTATTTTTATGGCAGATGAAAAGGTAGATGACACAGGGAGAGAATAACAAACTTCTGTTCAGTCTGTAATAGAAAAAAAAAACAACAATTATCATAGGCAAAAGATCAGAGCTGTACAGCCTAGTTCGGTATTTCGAGTGAAATGTTTAAAAAAGGAATTTTCTTTCTTTTTAGGACGAGCTCCTAGATCTCTGTCAAAGGTGCGCCAAGCTCACAAAATCAAAACAGGCGTTCCCAGCGTGCTGTTCGACCGACTTGCAAGCAAGGAAATGGTGTTCCGACTACGTTTACTTTGGCAGAGGCCAGTACGATTTCTACTGAGTCTGTGGTTTCGAAATAGTCACTAAACATATAACAATTTAGATTTTTTACGTATCTAGAATTTAATGAGCGTGTATTATTAAAAAAGTTGATATAAAAAGTCCAAAATCAATCTGCAGAGGTTTGAGTAAAATCACAGGTGAATTCTCGAAAGCAAAGTGACGTGAGATTTCAAACCGGTTAAATTTGTAATGTTAAGTATGTTTCAAAGATTGTAATAGTTTACGACGGCCATATTTATTTTATACAGTCACTATGTAGCCTGTAGTATTTATCGAAATCCGTCAAGGTGTATAATCTATATATATTTTTTCAACTTTTTTTTGTGCTTCAGAAATTGAGATATACATTCGAAAATATTATACATCTTTTTTCATCAGTTGCGTAACAATATGTATTTTTTAAATGTATGTTTAATTTAATACTAATGATTTTTTTTACAAACATCAATTCTAGTATAAAGTCGTATTTTTCGAAGCAATCTAATTGATTTAAATATATATATATATATATATATATATATATATATATATATATATTCCATTACTCAGGGAATAAATACTAGTAATCACAGAATAACTTTTATTCGTTTGTTACGTTATTAAATTTTAACAATTCAAGATTTTTTTTTATAACAGAAACACTTCAGATTTTTTTACGAATCCATATTGTTTTACTTTTGGCGGGAATGCAATTACGAGTTCATTCACCTGTCGCGTACGTAATCGAAGACAAAGTAATAAATTTCCACTACTTTCTTACATTTCACTTATTATTATGGAAAATTTTAGATTCTATCAGTAACAAATTATGATTCAAAGTTGGTGTTTCGATGGCTTTTATAACTTAAACTTTATGTAGGTACTGAATTCTCTGAGAATTGTAGTCGTCATAACTAACTAAACATTTATTGATTAAATTTTGTGAAAAATGATCGTTTGTCAAATATTTATGACAATAATTTGATTTCATTGATGTATTCTTTTTTAAGTTATTATAATTGTTTTAATATTGTTTATATTATATATAAAAGCACTACTTTAATTTGAAATAATTTTAGATAGAATGCTGTTAATAATTTAAATCAGTTTACTTAAATTTGATTTGTATTGTACATATAATTAATTAAATGTGAATTATATTAATAATGAATTGAGTAAATGCAAATTAATATGATTGAATTATGCGTAACTTTTGCGTGCGCAATGTGGCAACGGTATTAAATTAGAATGTTAAGATTTTAAAATGTTAACAGATACGTGTAAATGTGTTTTAAATTGAAGTTGGCTGATTTTTGTTGAATATTTATTTTAAATAGAATTAAAGAATATTAACTATTTATCTCAATTATGTATACAAATATTAATCATTATAAATTGACCCATTGAACAATGCAATTTCGTGTTACCATATTCATAGTAAGATGGTAGATATAATAATTAATATTTTGCTTGAAAATGTATAAATAGTTGGAATAAAGATCTTCTCCAATAAAATCAAAATTATTAATAAATATATGTGTTCAATTAAATAATATAATACGATATTTTTTAAATAAATATAATTTATATATTTATTTAAAATAAATTTGAGTTAGGAAGTACCTATAATAATTATAATTAATTAAATTTGAAATTTGATTTTTGTAAATTATGATAGATTAAATTTCTAAAATATTTATAGGTACTTAATGTATTGTACAAAATACAATAAATTGTGATATTTGTAATGTATAAATTTTAAATTAAACGTAAATAAATTAATTTAGGTAAATTTTAAGGTATAGTGATGTAATTATTATAAAATGCAATGTAAATAATTAAATATTTATCCGATTTATTATGGATCACAAAGTAAGTGTATTAACACAAAATTAATGTAATTAATTTACGTAAACTAATTTATTTATAAAATAGATAATTAAGAAACATAAATTAATTTATATGCAAGAAGTATAGATTTTTTTATACATAAATTAGTTTACGATAAAGAGAAAATTTGCTAATGTGATTTTGGATAAATCACAAAATATTGAAACTGGCTGTGATAATTATGTAGGTAAACGAAAACGTCGAAGAAGTTGAAAATGAAATAAAATTAATTTTTTAATAATGATGTTGTCTTATTTCTAATATTGTATTTGCATGGCTATATTTCAGTTTGAAGGGTGGGACATGGCAGTGAATTTACAGGATATAGAGGAATAACACCTGAGTTCTCAGGATTGACAACGCATGGGGGATGTCATGGGCGAAACAGTATACTCTGTTATGTCCATGCTTATGTCTGTAGGCGACGGTTACCACTTTCCATCAAGTGGGCCGTCAGCTTGTTTGCCATTCTAAGTAGCATAAAAAAAATTCGGTATGCTAAAGAAGTCCAAATATATGTCGAAATATCCATAGGAGAAGAATATCAACACTTTAATTGCTTAACAGAAATTGGTAAATAAAAGCATAAAATATCTTGACAACAAACTCGAAAAAAATAAACACCTAAGTTATGGGAAAAAACCTACGCCTCATAGAGTCTGAATATTTTCAAACGATGCATATAATTTTGATTAAAAATTAAAAAAGACTAAGATCTTCAGGCTAGTCACTAATTGTATTTTGTATTCCTTTTTAGTTTATTATGATCCTAAAATAGACAAAACCACAGGATTTATTGCCTGTTTCAATAAAACTGAGCTACATTAATTATCAATAGAAAATAAACTTTACATGTGTTATTGCATCGTTTACAGAATGTTACAGAACTCTCTAAATTTAATTAGAGACAAATTGAGATTAATTTTAACTAACTGCAATCAGGTGATCAATTTTTGTATTATTATTAAAAATCAGCAAACTATCTTAATCGCTGTGTGTGCCTCAGCATAAAATGAGCTATCCCTTCCTTTCCCATGAGAGTCGTAAGAGGCGACTAAGGAAATTTATGGTGGGAGGATAGGCTGCAAACATTACCCAAAAAGCAAACTGCAGTTGCAAATCCGCCTGCCAAGCGTGGCAGGTCACCTCCCTCCCTTATGGGGGAGGCTATGTTCACCAGTAGACAGATAACGGCTGATACAACAATGATAGTAAAATTATTCTATCTATAAATGAGTAAATGTTGAAATTATTTTCTTTATGTTTAGAGTAAGGTACTAAACATGGTATATATATGAAATAAGTAGACGGTCATTAAAAATCCATAAATTAATTTATTTAACACTATTTGACAATATTGTAACAAGTTGTATGTACAAAACTTTTTTCTAATTTTAACATACTTTTCTCCTAAATATGTCACATATTTGACGCGTGGTGAGTTGATAATTTGTAAAAACTTACAAAAAGTGAGATGTTGTTACAATTAATAATAAAAATGCTCACACCTGCAATCATAGTGGGGGTAGACAGATTTTTATTAGTAAAATTAATCTATTAAATAAAAAAGTCTTTAAAGAAACAATTACAAAATTGTTGATTAAATATCTTATTCGCGTTTTCGAGAGAACTCTTTGATACAATCTTTATATATATAAAAAAAACTCTCAAAACAAGTTGGGTAAATACGAAAGGTACTCTATATAGAACAAAATTATTGATAACAGTATTTAGTGTTTCACAATTTATTGCTAGCAACATAAGTCGAGAATATGTAAATTATTTATTTATATTATATATTTTATAAAAAGTGTTTTAATAGTTATTAAATAAGTGTGCCTAAACTGATTGAAGATATGGAGCGAAAAAGGCTCTTTTGATCTTAGAGCAGACATGTGAAAATGTGGAATCTTTTCCCAGTTGTGATACATAAATTAGGTTTAAATATAATTTTAATAATAATCCATCTAGTTTTGAGAGTACCATACATAATTCCGTCACTCATATTTAGAGGTTTTTACTGAATAATGTAAATTAGTGTGTCAATATTAACCTAAATATATAATTAAGTACAAAATATTGTTTAGTCTCACAAGTTTTATTCATTAAATCACGACACAGTTGAGAAAACTTAACATTAAATTTGTGCAATCATATCATTTTGCCATTTGTTTACATTCGACCTGAATTGTACCATTTTGACAGTTTATAATAACTTTTGTAAATGTCAAAATGACATAACTGCATATAAACAATAAATATTTCAGACTATTATCACAATTATTATATTAATGTTATTTCGTTAAAGCGATGTTAAAAAAATATTGGGCATTTAAAAAAATATTCGTATATCATTGCGTTTGTAAATTAATAATAAAAATTGTTGATGTCAAGTCGCGACTAACGTGTAGTGTGAACACTATACCTCTGACCTTTTCAGTATATTATTATTCGTCTAACTTACCCATACCTATCTTTGGATAGTCTTTGATCAACTGACTATTTACTATAAATAAGGGCAATTTATATTAATTTACATACATATGGGCTTTTACTAATCTCAACTATGTAACATTCCCGCATGGACGGATATTAAATATCTAAGTGTTGTCAGCCTATAAAAGCGATGTGGTGTCAAAACTATTTTGTGATATAAAATATTTTGCTATTTTCTATCACAAAATTGATTTGTTTTTTATATTTTGTTCCATATATGCGTGTTCCAGTCATTTACCCTGTTCATGGAAAAGGGATTTCGAATTAATCTGCATTTCCAACTAATATCGTTATCTCCAAGTAAAAATACATTTATATCTGTATACTTGAAACTGTTATATTGATAACTATGTCTGTCTGAGTTCAATGAAAATGCAATGTATTATTATTTATGTATTTATTAACAATTACTAGTTTTACATTTATGTAATTTCAATCAGTCAATAATATAAAATAATTTACATATGTTTATGTAATTTTTAAGTAGAATAAAATAAACCCAATAAAATGTACCTATTGTAAAAAAATAACAATTTTTTTTATACACTTGAAGAAAATGTATTTTATACTTGTGGAAACGATTGTATTTGTAAATAGTTACATTTACTATAAGAAATCTACATTTATTTACATTTTGATTACATCACTACTCTGTACATTTCCTAATTTGAGGTTCTATCTTCCAATCCAATGCAACTATATTCATCATTAAATTATTAAATTAAATTATTTATAATTCGTGAAAAATATTAAATTACAATATCTTGAATTACATTCAGACGAAACAAAACTGTCACAATTTGATTAAATTATAAGATTGACAAATGAATTAATAGGTTGTCTTGATCGGTATCTTTTTACAGATCGTCATTTTTACTATTAAATTTAACAGTAGACGCATTCTACGAGTAGTATAAATATTTCAACAAATAAAAAATGCATGTCACGGAAATAAAAGTACGTATACAATATTATTTGCTGTAACTTCTTGACCACCCCGTGTGGGGGAAATATTTGAATGAATAAAAGTCACACTTTTGGTAATCACAGCAAATCATCATCGGAGTGTTGCTTGTCATATATTTCCTGTAATTTCTGTTGTTCTTTTATCTTCTTCATTTGGGCGTAGATCGACGCTGCCTTATAATTAATTGGACCGTAGTCTTTGAGGTCGGCATCTGCGTATATGAACTGGTCATCCGGCTTGAAAGGCTGTGGATAAGAGTTTTTTTTTTTATATTGAATTATTGATACAATAGGTAAATATCTATAACAAGTACATACACAGCGCCATCTATGTCTAAATTAAGCGTGTACTAATACTAGATTTTAACATGAACCCAGTAACCCGGGGGGTAGTTGCCTCTGGAATTGAAATTGGGGTAAAGGAGTTCGTTTCGAGGACTCCATATAACCTTCCATCAAAGGTCATAGACGACCGTGATTGATTGACTAGATTTTGTTTTGTAAACACAGAAAGAAAATAAACTAAAATAAATGGATATATGTAACTATATACTGAAGAATACGAGTATATATTGCGCGGGAATTGAACCCACACCCTTCGAAACATTATATACATCGCTATTAATGCAAGTCATCGAATAAGATACTTATTGACTTCAAACATGAATAAATTTGAAGATTACAAAATGTTAACTATACAAGTTAACATTTTGTAATCTTCAAATTTATTAAAGGTATATATATATATTAACTATTTATGTATGTATATTTATATAGTTAAAAATGAGGCTGGAACTTACATACGAGTATAAATGATTTCTTTACGTAATAAAAATATTCTCTACAATAAAAAAGTCGCAGTCACTGTAAAACGGCAAGTTTATGTAAAATGTCAAGTTTATTCATGCAATTTATATATAATATATTTTACACCTAATGGTATATATATATATATATATATATATATATATATATATATATATATATATATATATATATATATATATATATATATATATATATATATATATACATATATATATATATATATATACATATATATATATATACATCATAGTATAAAAATATATTGAAAACTATAGTTTAAAACCAATACATAAATAAAATAGATATATAATAAAAAAGATTCAAAAAAATTTACTAGTAATAAAAAATTACGTATATAAAATAAATGGTAATATGTGTTAAATGAAACTATTATCTAGAATAAAAAAGTTTGCAATATGCATTATTTAAATTAAATTGAAATTAATTAAATTAATTTATTAATATTAGATATAGCAAAATGTATAAATTTCATCAAACAGCACTTCGGAATCACATTTCGGTGCATACTGTTATAAAAAACTAAATCCAAAACTTAGTTTTCTAAAAGCGCTTATAAAAATATTGTTATTGAATTATTAAGCAGTTAATAAGCAATTGGAATGAATTTTGAAATTACCTTTTTTATTTAAAAAATGTATGTGTCACTCTTGGTAAAGCGCTCCTAGAAATAAAAATACAAAAAGAAACGTCACAAAACGATATTGCATGCTTTTCGATAGCATTATGTGTGGGTGGCCTAATTTTTTGGAATACATGCTGTATTTATTACATAGAGAATATATCACTTAAGCACATATTACCATTAAAAGTGTAAAATTAAACGTAAGTTGAATATAATAGTATTAGTAAAATAATTAATATTACATAGCAATTAATGTAAAATTAGTAAATGTTACAAGTTTTATTACAATAAAGATATTTTTCTTTCGTAAACATATTTATCGATTATATATCATATTATACTCCTAAAATAACATTTGACTGATTAGTGAATTATCTTTATTTATTTAGTTGAAAAATATGTCGATTAGTAAGTTCAATTATACGCCTATTCTAATTAAATGACAAAGAAAAAATAAAAAAAAAAACAAAATCTGTTATAATTAATATCGAATGTATTACTTCTTAGTTCTTATAGATTCAGAATAAAAGTTACCTTATATTTTAAATAAACTATTTAATAATTTTATATAATACCATTAACTCACCTTTCAAACGTCGATTTCGTTAAATTTAAGTGTAGCATAATCACTTCTCGGTTGATTGTGACTGCCTTTTCTTTGGCTACTGGGTACATTACTCTTATAGCTACTGTTAATATCTTTGTTAGTACTATCTGCACTACCTATAGTGTACGTATCATATAAATGTCTATTAGAATTGACTGTATTCTTAAATTTCAAATTGTGATTACCTAAAGCTAAATCAGCGTACACTAATTTTTTATGTTTAGGCTTCTCCTCCTTTGGACCGAGCGTGTTGAAATTCGAACTTGTCGTTTGCTCGGGACCTAAGTTTCTCGTTGAATTTGATATGTAGTTCCCTTTAAGAAGATGCAAGTATGATCTTCTTTCAGACTCATTATATTCTGGTTCTGGATAATCAGGCTTTTCATAATTATCGTAAACTCCAACACACGACAGTTTTTCCCGTAGACTTTCCGATTTTTTCAAACGATTTAATTTGTGGCTATTCTTTTCTCGAGTTCTGTTTAGTGTTTTCGTGTAATATTGAGCTTCGGCTGGTTGGTATATTAAAGGACCTATAGTATTATTATACGCTCTTTCTTGGTCTACAGGTATTCTTTTATCTACTCTAATAGGTTGGAAATAACAGAAACTGTGATGTTTCTGTAATGGTATTTGAAAATTCTTCTTGTTTTTTCCTTTTGAACTTAAATTAGTAAAATGATTGCGTTTTTGCATGTACTGTTGCTGTAGTATGTTAGTATTCTGTAAAATGAAACATCATTCTGTTAGTAAAGAGAGACAAAACATGTTAAAAATGGGATAGCAACTAAAATTAAAAAAAAAAAAAACATAAAAAGCATTATACCTGACCGTTTTCATTGTATGCAGTCATATGGGTTTGAACCGAGTTGCTACGTCTAACTAAAGATTTCTTTGGTATAGGTTTTTCTGTTAACTTTGGTATTTGTAACGTTTTATTTGGTGGTATCACTTGTTTCATTGGTAATCCAACTTTGTTTATCCCTGCTTGTTCATTTAACTGATTAACAACCGATTTTACGAGTGATGTAGAGGGTAATGTTATTGATAAGTTTCGTTTAGGTGTTGCACCTATAATATTGGGTTTACTAGAGTCTTGGTTTTCTTCTTCTTCATTATTTTTATAATTAGTATCCTTTTCTGGCAAACCACTTTTAGTAGTCCTTTTTGGTGCAACTACTGGAGCTGCACTAGCTTTATTCGCAGTTTTTGATAAATCTTCAGCAGATCTAGTAGGTCTCATAGGACCATCGATAGTATCAAATGATTTTGACAGTGTCGAGTTTATCATTGGCATAGAAAGATTCATATAGACGTGATTAGATTTTGTTGGTGATATAATGGGAGATATTTTAGTTCTAGGTGCTGGAACTGGTCTGTTTAATGAAGTTGTAGAAATATTGATATCATTATTAATGTCTTCGCAAACTTGAATTGAGTCTGTTAAATTTTCGAATTCTTGTATTCCACTGATATTCGATTTAACTTTAAGCAACGATGGATAATTTGCATAAATAATATCTTGATCAAGAACTAAATCTTTTTCATTATCTGATTCTCCTTGAGTTTCTTTATTATTGTTAATTTCATTAAAGTTTTCTCCATATTCAGTATTAGGGTAAAATCTTTCTATATTACGTTTCCTCACGATTCTCATTGACTGAAACTGTCGTAGTTTTTTTATTCTTTTCTCGTTTCTCATATTTAGTGAGGAGAATTTTCTGGTGTCACTTTCCGAGATCTCTTCATCAATGGTAGGAAATTGTTTAAGAAAAGAAGATTGCATTGCGGGCAAGTAAGGATTTAATAATACCGTTTGATGTATTGGATACATTTGTTGAATGGGAGGTAAAAGTGAAATACCGTAAGAGTACTGCGAACTTGACGCGGGTGACACTGGATATGTAATAGTATTTTGTACGAATGGTGGACATACCACTCTTGGTGTGAATGAAGGGTTAGTTGTCAATTGTTTTTGTAGTTGCTGAATCCCCTTTATTGTTTTTTTATTAGTCTCGACCACTCTAGGTTGGATAGCTTGCACGGGCTTTGTAATGCATGCCAAACAAAACATGAAAATGAAGGAAATAAAATGATTAGATGTGCAAATAATAATTGAAGCATAAATTGGCTGATACAACATGATCAAGAATCAATCAGTAAAACCAGATATTTAAAAAAAAATTAAAAAAATCTGATATTCTGATATATTGATAATATTGTATTCCATATTAAACAAAAATGTATGTGGGTCAATAAAGATTCATGGGTTAAAATGTAATTGACTAATAAAGTACATACACTTATCATGGATATTAGTAAAGGAAAATTTTTAAGTTACTTTTATTTGGTAACTGTGCAAAATATTTTTGAAAATTAGAATAAAATTTGTTTTATGTGTAGGTGTAGTGGACTTAATATAATATGACAATAATTTAAGGTTCACTTTATATGGGTTTATATCTCTATAATTATATAAATTTATAATTGTGTTATTAAGCTAAATTGTTAATTATTTCTTACATTTGTCGAATAGCAGTTCTTATTATAGCAAATTATTTACCCTGAGATGTATCAAGTTTTGTAAAATACCGAGTCTCGTTAAATCGTAAATGTGTTGTTGTTAATTTTACTTAATCAAATAAATAATAATAAATATAATAAAGTTTTTATGATAAATTACAAATCTTTTCAATAAACGTAGTATATCAAATTTACACTTATACACTTATAAACAACATCTGTGAAGATCGGATTGCAATAAAAAACAACTCTAGTTTGTATTTTACAAAAAATGATACCTTATTGAAATTTGTAATTTGTAAAACTCATCAGATCATTCTCAAGCTGGACCTTTATTAAACAACTATTATCATATTTATAAGAATATCTACCTTATTAGGTGGTTGTTGGAGACCATGGAACGGCAAATTCTCGTAGAGGCCTGGATTGTCCGCTCCTAGATTGCCGTTCGCCGCATTATCTACGCCATTCGTAGGTGGGCCTGTTAAAAAATTCTCAAATTTAACACCAAATTTCATATTTTTTACAATAATAAATGATAAGAAATAAAATTTATCAATCAATATATATAGTGTAAACAATTACATTACACTATTTCATTAAATATAATAAATAGGTAATATTTAAGGTCTTTGTTGGTTCTGAACTTTGTTCTAAATGATAATGATGGATGGCATCTATATATTGTTCTTATAAGATCTTTAAAAAAAAATTTACTTTAGTAATTAATCATTAATATAAAAAAAATATGATATACCTTTGTAATAATGATGATCTGTATAACATCAATAATGCAATAATTGTAACAATAGTAGCTAGCTTAAAAAAATCATGCGACTTACTATCTCCGGGTTTTTTCCGTTTCCTGGTAGATTTAGCGGAAGATTCATCATTGAAAGGTTTAACTTTGATGCTTGTTGTTGCTATTCTATCAGGTCTTTTGAATGATACCACTAAAAACATGCATATGTTAAAGAAAAAAAAAAAACAAAAATAAAAAAGACGTGCAGCAAATGAAGGTACAAAGCGAAAACAGCAGATGATTTTGAAGCTGTGTGATAACATGTAAAGTTTTTGAAAATAATGTCAGAGATAATATTAATGAAAACATTAATGTAATTAATGAGATTTTAAAAATATATTATGATATAAAGAAGTTCAAGGTGCATCTATGCACTGTCCATATCATTTAAAACAAATATAAAACGATTGTCAAGAAAATTATATTATCTCAAACATAGTTTAATCAAGTGTAATATTTGTGAAATTATGATGAACAATCTATCTACCTCCTTCTGTTACAATAACATTCGGTGTTTCGCTGTGAAACAGTGCCCTAAATCTACTTTTTGGCAAATTATAACCTGATCTATTCAAATTCATCAATGAGACAGCCCTTTTGTTAGTTTTATTGATCTTCTTGTATTTACCACTATCATCATCAGAGTCTTCGCTTTTCTTCCTTAGTCCTTTCAGAATTCCAGACACAACATTTTGTGTGTGCCTCCTGGGTTTACCATTCTTTTTAGAATATTCAGTCTTAGAGGGCGATTTGTCGTCTTCCTCTTTCTTGTTTCTTTCAAGTAATCCTAAATTAGCTTCTGTCTGCTCAGTGTTTTGTTCATTAATTGCATTTTGAAGTCTTGCCTGATTTTTAGGACTCAAAGAGTGATTTGAATTTACATGAACGAGAACACCAGGTTTTAAAGGCCATTTACTTGGAGTCATTATAGTTTGACCCTTATTATTCTCACTTTTAGGTTCTGTTTTCGGCGTTTGTGTTTCATTTATATTTTCCTTTGTTACTTGGCTATTTATAGTTGCTTCTAGTTGTGAAAGGTTTGCTTGTAAGCTGCTAGTTACAGGGGTTTCGTTAAATTTATTCATTTCTAAATTAGGATAGCTCTGTGAGTCGACAAGTCGAGTTCGATCTGATGTTTTTGGACTAAAAGATAGACTTAATCGTGGTGATAAAGCAGGCAAAGCTTGTGATATTATCGACTGAGCTATTGACACCTCGTTTAGACAGCTACCATCCGGACTGTATAAGAGAAATCATGGAAACAAAAAATGATGTTAGATTCATGCGATGATATATATGAGTAATAATAGTAAATACAATTAAGTATGTATGAACAAAAAATGATTTTAGTTTATAAAAAAAAAAGAATAGTTATTATTATAATATATAATAAGTCGATATAGATATTAAAATGTAGCAAATAAATAGAATTTCGTAATCAAATTACATGTAACTATCTAATATTATGTAACTCAATATATAAATATATATAAAAAAAAATTATACTTTTTAATATTATTTACTTCAAAGAAAAATGAACGAAAAATATGAATGTAATCTTTGAATGCAAATTCAAAATACAAAATTATATTTGTTAACGTGCTTTTATTTACTGACATTGATTTTCTGTCGATTACCAACTGATTAGCAATAGAATTGTTTTTATCGATATTTTCAAATCTATACCACTATAGATAATAATACCGAGTCAATAAGTTAAATAAAATTATGTATTATTACAAAGTCATTATGTATATTTGATTACTTATTTCAATGACGATATCAGTTATTATGTTATAAAATTTTAGATTACAGTTAAAACAGACGTACTTCCCGAACTGTGTATTCTTTGACTTGACAATTTTTTATCGAAATATTGATGTAAAAGTCCAAATCCTTATGTATAAAGGTTGAGATTAACGGTTTAAAGCATATTAATCCTAGATAAAGATTGTACAATGTGATTGATAGATAGTAATATGATTAATAGAGATAAATTGTATTTGACATCATTATTATTGTCGCAGGACAGAAATTCCGTTCTGAGATTAATGTATATAGATTAATTGAATATAATTTTATAATATAAAAATAAATTAAACATAATCTAAATCACTTTAAAGTAATCCTAAAATGAAGCTTAAAATATTAGAAAAAAAAACCACAAATATTTATGTGTCTTTGAAAAATGTACTAAAAACTTCCAGACAGATAAGATTTAAACCGTCACATTACGATTATTATACGAGTTCTGTTAATATCCGGTTGCGATAAATAATATCTTAAAATAAGTAGAAAGAAATAGATATGTATGATAGCGATTAAACAGACGGATAATATAAACAATAATACATAATATATAAAATGCCAATATATACTAGAAGAATGCTTTCAAACAACTCTGACATGCATTAGTATAAAACAATTTTGTCATATATTACAACACTACAAAATCCGACAAGTTTCTACAGAGTTCACACAAAAAATCTCCCAATGTCAAAATACAAAATGAGCCAAAAATGAGCGTGTACAAAATAAGAAAGCATTCTCCATCTATGAAGAAAATGTACGAAATAAATTATTTGTGTTAGTATATTTTATACCTGAACTATTTATTGTAGTCAGTCTGAGAACATCTGGGGTTAGTGCTGTTAGGAACCTACAATAAAAAATATACAAAATAATATATAATATATTATTATTATACATTTTATTGGTGACCTTGACTCGATATCCCGTGTTAGAATGTTAGGAGTAAACAGATGATACATGCCACTAATCACTATCATTCTATTTAACTAGACTCGGTTATTAGCCAAGTTAATCTGGTACTAGATTGTGTAATAGCCGTTGGTCCAAGCATTTAGCGAAATTACAGGCGAAAACTCAAAACTTCACGACCTTGACCTTATAAGATATTAAGACCTCGCCATTGACACAACTAGAGGTGACCTTGAGGGTGGCATGGACAATGTATGCCATGAGTCTGCTCGGACCAACGGCGTTGCTGAAAATATCCACTTCCACTATATATATTTGTATTTCTATTCAAATAAAGTATAATCCCTACAACTACATCTAATGTTATAAAATGTAATGTATCCATAATTATATTTTATCAAGTTAGTTCAAAATAAGCTTGGGATTTTTGGAACATTTTGTCTAAATGGAACCTATAAATTACTTCTTCCAATAAATAAATATGTGCATCATACCATAACAATAAAAAAACTAATAGTGCTGCCAATATAAATAAAATATATAAAATAAAAAAGCATTTAGCCTATAATATACCTACTGTAATGAAAAATATGCTATAATTTTTAATAAATAAAATATTTTAAAAATATTATATCACAATTCTACCATCAACGGCGATTATATAAAAAAAAAACTCAACTACTCTGATTATAACACTACTAAATGCAAATATATCTTTATAAAACTACAAAAAATGTTTCATATTTAAAATTATTAAGGTATTGATAGTCGTTGATTGTAGATTTAATAATTAAAATATAATTTAATGTAAGACCACATTTTAAATTAAGATTACTTTGTAATTAAAAATAATAAATAAAACATTCATATCTATGTAATTAATTAAGTTAAAGGTAGTTTTAAATGAAAAGAAAACTTACTTCTCGCGTTCCTCCAGTTCCACCGGATTATTATCTAGATTTTGTGATCGATAGTGATATTGCAGTTAGTTGACGTGTTAGGCATACAAGCAGCATCCGAGAAAGAGTAGAAAAAATCGATAAATTAATAGTTTGTTTAAATTAATAGCTGACAGTCATTTACAATCAAATTATTTTTGTGAATTAATTACAATTAATATTTGAAATTAATTTACACAAATAAATAATTATGACAATTATTACATCAATCAACATTACAATTATTTAGTTTGGGTATATTTTAAATGTGTATTATTAATGCCTAATATTAAAACAGCGATAATATTAATCAACACACATGCATTCTAATTATTAAATCATTCATTCTAAAATAACAGGTCAAGTCAAACAAATGACAATTTCGTATTATTATTGTCAAAATCATACGTAATTGTAAATGTCAAAATGACAGACTTACATTTGGATTTTGCCCTCATCCGTCGACATACGCAGATGATGATGATGCAAAGGATCACCGTAATCACCAGAATAGCGAGCGCTATACCGCCGATCAGTATTAACTTCTGTTGATCCCGCCACCAGGGAACTCGACCTGATGACAGTAATAGATGTAGTAAATTATTGTAATTTAGTGTCGGTTCTTAGTAAATTATTGTATTTAAATTGAATATAATTAAACTGTATAAAAATTGTTTATTTCTTTATTCGAATATTAATCTTTCAAATTAAGATGCGCTTTTATTTTTATTTTAGCCATATTGTTTTTATCAAAATGAAAATATAAATTTAAGATAATGGACGTGCTTGAGTATAGATTTTGTTTAATTAACTAAACTATTAAAAATATTTTTTATTAATCATTAAAGGAATTTGGACTTGCTGTTGATATATTATGTATAAATATATATATACATAACATATAACCTCTTTTTTGAAGTCGATTAAAAATTCTGTGCCATGATGTTCGTTCACGGTAATCTAAGAAGTCTCTCAACCGATTTTAATGGTATTTTTTTGTAAATATGAAGAATACACACAATTTGAGACATAGGATTTTCTATTTCGATCGAAGAAAAAACGGATCCGGTAGGTGGCGGTGGGGGGCAAGGCAACGTTTGCAGGTGATCTAATATTATATAAAAAGTATGAACCTTTGATCAACATGTGGACTTTGTCCCTTAGTCTCCGCAGAGATAACAGAATTCATTGTATAATACAACGAATATTTGAGACATTAGACATAACAATAGGTAGCATTTTTATCTGATACTAGCATTATATATATAAATTTTGGTTAAAGTATAAGTTATATATATAAATTTGATAATAGGCACTTATAATTATTTTCCTTAATGTTTTATTTTCTTATTTATACAATACTGTCATACCTACTTGTACAACAATTAGTCCGTTACCTTAAGGTTGTCTTGAAAAGATTGCTCTCAGCAATAAGATCGCCTCACTGTACTTATACAATTGTATCGTTGTGTTTGTTAATTGTCTTGCTTATTCCCTATATTGTATAATGCAAATAAAATATACTCATTCATTCATTTTTTTCTGCTACTTTCAATAATACAACAATGATAATTGCATACAATTAGATGCATTAGTTTTTGCGTCATACATTAAAAAAAAAATTGCTATGAAATTGCAAGGGAAGAGAATTATAAAGAACACTTACTATACAGTTCCAAGTTTGCTTGAAATAGAAAAAATATAAATATAATTAATTAGTACATTACTGCAGTGGTCAGCAACTGAGGCATTGATGGACGAACGTGCAAACGTGAGCCAAGGCGCAGCCGAGGCACACATACGTGAGTCTATCAATGCCTAATTGTGGCCAAGGCTGGTACTTTTCTCAAACAATGCGCGGAAATCAGAAACACAATTTTACTTTTTAAGTTCAATGACGAATAACAAACAATAATAATTTTTCACGTGCCAAGCTTTCTATTTGAAAGTAGTTCTAAATTTATATAAAACCTTGTATTAGTTACCTCCTTGGTAGCCATGTTTCGAAGTAAAAGGACCTTCCATTTTTAAATTACAGGACAGATATGAGTTTACATAGTAATTTATCTGGCCGCAATACACGATAGATATGGGTTTTCATACAACTTTTGCCGGCCGCTGCCCGCATGTATCTGGCCAGTACGTGCAAGTTTGATTTATCTCGAAGATTGTCAAAATAATGCTCACATTTCCAAGCATGTTTGAGAAAATATATTTTTATACATTTACACATTATATATATATATATATATATATATATATATATATATATATTATGTATAAGTAACTATCCTGTTATCAATCCACTTCAAGGATATAAGTTGGTTATAGGAGTATTGTCGTGTGATCCCGGCACAGAATGGGCCACCCCTTCCTTTCCCATGGGTGTCGTGAGAAGCGACTAAGGGAACTTAATGGTCAAGGCATAAACAGCAGCGTCCCTCTTAAAACATCACTAAAATCCTAACTGCGTCTTTTTTATCTGGATGATAATGGTATGGTAACCCCGCACGCGCTATCGGTATACACTGGTGCCCACCAGTGAGGGATGATTGGTGAAGATGTTAGGGAAGGTCAGTTAGCCCATCGTGACGGATTCAACGATAAATTAGTCAAAACGGTTTCCAGGGGGAACCGCGTGGAGGTCGACCTGATAAGGTATATTGATAGCAATGGGGCCTAACCTCCCCAATACTAACAATCCCTTCCTCCCTCCTAACTGCGGTTGCTGACCCGGCTGCTAAGCGTGGCAACTACTAACAAATCTATCCTATACTATATTGCGTTTACATGTACGGAGTCGCCTCTCAAAAAACTTTCTTTCACGTCAGTTGTTTCACAACTTAGAATGGCAAACAAGCTGACGGCGCACCTGATGGAAAGTGGTAACCGTCATCTATAGACATGAGCAGTACCGTGGACATAACAGAGTATATATACTGTTTCGCCCATGATACCCCCATGCGTTGTCATCCCTGAGGACTCAGGTGTTATTCCTCTGTACCTAATAAATTCACGCCATATCCCACCCTTCAAACCGAAACACAGCCATGTGCAGTAAAGTTTAAATAAATAAATTAATTTATTACAATATCAGTAGGATGCCATGCAATAAATTTGATATACATTTAAATGAATACGCCATTAATTTTATAAATGCGAAAGCTTGTAAGGATTAATGGACATTTGTTACTCTTTCAGGTAACAATTACTGAATGGAATTGAATTAAATTTGGTACAAATATAGGTTATATCCTAACTTAGCAAATAGGATATTTTATGTACATACTAATTCATGTAAACGAAACCGCGGGATTTATTTTTAATTAATATTATTTCTTTTTATTTATATTAGTGCTTTTTTTAAGTAAGACAACAGAAGGGAAGAAAAGTTCTTGAGTGGCGATCACGTACGGGTAAACGCAATGTAGGAAGACCTCCCACTAGATGGAGTGACGACCTGAAATGCGTTGCAGGGAGTCAGTGGATGCAGGTGGCTCAGGACCGTTCTTTATGGCAGTCTATGGGGGAGGCTTATGTCCAGCAGTGGACGGACAATGGCTGAAATGATGATGAATATTATTTCCCGTCATCGTTACCGTTCAATACAATAGTTACGTAGCATGCGCGGATGACGCTCGTGATTTAGAGAATTTCGTCATTTTTATCATGTCCACATAGATAAATAATCTATTAGACAGCGAGTCCATGACTATTCTTTATCTAAGTCCATGGGTCTAGGCGTGTACGGTCCACGACGTGAATAAAGTTAATATAACATTGTGTTGTTACTTGTAACTTATATATGTCAACATATTTATTATTTTTTAATAGAAACATCTATAATGTTTCCTTCTATTATTGTACGCATACTGCCCGCTAGTAATTAATGCTCCTTTCCACTCAGGGTTTGCCGGAAGAGAACTCTTACAGAGTTAAGCTCTCCTGTTGTACATCTTTATTTTATATATATTATATGTTGTAATTTTTTGTGCACAATAAAGAATAAATAAATAAATTACAAAAAATAAGACAATTATTGTTTGATAAAAGTGAGGTCGACTTTTTGGAACCACTGTCAAATTATTCTTGTTTGATGCGAAACATAAGTTTACAATATTAAATGTAAATTTCAGGAAATATTGGACCTTATGTTTCGTATCATACCCTATATTTTCACTTCCACCTTTCCAGCTGAAAGACAGTCATTCAGGCACTTACTTAACACACCGATGGGCAGTGGCTATCGAGAGTAAGGGAGAGGCCTTAGCAGTTAGTCTGGATATCGCGAAGGCCTTTGATCGGGTGTGGCATAGAGCGCTGCTTTCAAAGCTACCTTCATTTGGGTTGCCTGCGAGACTGTGCATTTGGGTCGCCAGTTTTCTCAAGGAACGTAGCATTAAGGTCGTAGTCGACGGAGCATGCTCTGATTTAAAACCTTTGAATGCTGGTGTCCCGCAAGGCTGTGTACTATCTCCGACTCTGTTTCTTCTGCATATCAATGATATGTTACAGATAAGTAATATTCATTGCTATGCAGACGACAGTACAGGAGATACATTATATACCGGTCATGCAAGGATCTCGCGGGCACATACCGATGAGTGCCGGAATAGACTTGTGTCTGAAATCGAAACTTCACTCCATCAAGTTTCGATCTGGGGTGAACAAAATCTTGTCCAATTTAACCCCAAAAAGACACAAGTCTGCGCGTTTACCGCAAAAAAGACGCCGTTTGTCGTATCTCCTCACTTTCAGGGCACTTCCCTTGATAAAAAGTCGAGTCTAGGAATTCTGGGCGTTGATATATCTTGCGACGTCCAGTTTTGCGGTCATCTGGAGGAGAAGGCTAAGATAGCTTCCAAGAAGTTAGGAGTGCTCAATAGGGTGAGACGATATTTCATGCCAGAACACCGCCTGAAATTATATAAAGCCCAAGTCAGGCCGCATATGGAATACTGTTCTCACCTGTGGGCAGGAGCGCCACAGTACCAACTCCTTCCGTTAGACCGCATTCAAAGTCGGGCGGCTCGAATTATCGATAGTCAACGCCTTACTGTCCGACTTGATCCACTGAAGCTGCGCAGAGATGTTGCATCTCTGTGCATCTTCTACCGAATTTATCATGGGGAGTGTTCTGAGGAATTGTTCGGATTGATACCTGCTGCTGATTTTCACCACCGTACAACCCGCCACAAACTAAAGTTTCATCCCAATCATCTGGACGAGTGGCGGTCTTCCACCGTGCGTTTTTCAAGGCACTTTCTTCCACGCACAACCATTCTTTGGAATCAACTTCCAGCAGCAGTATTTCCGAACCGATACGACAACATAACCTTCAAGAAAAGAGTACATTCCTTTTTAAAAGGCCGGCAGCACACCTGCAATGCCGCTGGTGTTGTGGGTGATCATGGGCGGCGGTAGTCACTTACCATCAGGTGAGCCGCATGCTCGTTTGCCCCCTGTGTTGTAAAAAAAAAAAAAAAAGGCACAACTATTTCACAGCAGAGTTACGAGTAGAACAGACATACCTACTATTGTATAAAGTCTATTTATAGTAAAACGAAAATTATTCGGTTTGGATAACAGAGAAATGTAAAGGTAACTTTTTCAATGTATTAAGAATTATGATACATTAGTACGAAAGATCCCTAAATCCGTACTCCGTAGCTTTGATTCTAAATAAATCAATTAAGGAATCATTCAGTCAATTATTCAATCAATCATTCGATCAATCATTTGATCAATCATTCGATCAATCATTTGATCAATCATTCGAGCAGTCGTTCAGTCAATCATTCGATCAATTATTCAATAAACCATGTGACCAATCGTTGGATCAATCATTCGAGCAATTGTTCAATCAATCATTGGATCAATTATTCAATAAACCATGTGACCAATCGTTGGATCAATCATTCGAGCAATTGTTCAATCAATCATTGGATCAATTATTCGATCAATAATTCAATTAATCAATTTCTTTGCAAGAAGTACAAGTTATTATGTATATGCATACTCACCCATAACATCACGCTCGCATTGTCTAGAAGTGCCGACAGTGTTGTTAGCGAAACACAAATAGGTCCTGTAGACTTCGACGCTGGTGCTCAAGCGCAGGTAGCTCTGTGAGCCGACCTGCCAGATCTTCTCGTCGGTGAGGCTGTCATTGTCGTTTTTCAGTTTCCACGAGAAGAATACCTACAAAAATGAGATTAAAAAGTTACATAGGATCAATTAAAATATGGGTCAAATACTGCAAACCAATTTTAATAGTGCCTTTTTTTAATTAAAAAGGTTGATTATCCAGTCTAATTATTTACTAATTTCGTCCAAGTTAAAGGAAGTTCTTTTGTGAAAAAATATTAAATTCTATGTTTTAGTTCACTCTTTTTACTAAAATGAATTAGAAAAAAAAGGTATTATATAAAGCACATTTTGTTTATAATATAAAATGTAAATATGGGTGTATTACCTCCGATGGGTTGGCATGCGCAGTACAGACTAGAACTTGTTCTCCGTCCATTTCTATCTGTTTTATACCACATTCTGGTACGACTGAAAAACACAGGTAATATTACAGTTGTGGTAAAACTCGATTCAATTCATTTATTGTTTATTTTTTTAATGTTTTAAAAATATATAACCAGAGGGAGAGTTTGTACAAAAGTCTTGTTTGCTTGGGCACCTCTGTCCCATTCATGTTTGTACCGTGAAGCAGTTGTGTTTGCATAGCTATGTTTCGGTTTGAGGGGTGGGATATGGCAGTGAATTTACAGGGTACAGAGGAATAACACCTAAGTACTCATGGATGGCAAAGCGTCGGGGGTATTATAAACGAAACTCTATGTCTATAGACTATGGTTACCACTTTCCATCAGGTGGACCATCAGGTTGTTTGCTATTCTAAGTAGCATGAAAAATATAGTACTGAAATAGAGGTACAGTATCAACATGAACCTTCAGTATTTATAAACCAATTTGATTTTTTTTTTTAAATAAAAAGGATTTAGATATTTTCAGATTAATACCATAGAAATTTGACTAAAATCGATTCAGTAGTTCAGTTTTTAAATCAGAATAATTGGTTTTGCCACAATTGAAGTCGGCGTGTCCCTTTCGTGACATAAGCGTGAATTTGTGTATATAAAAATACTATTGGGCATTTCAAACCACGGTCGGTTCAATTAATCAATCATTCATTAACTCGAACAAACAATCTTTCATCTAATTATTCATTCAATCAATCATTTCATCAATTATGGAATTAAGCATTCATCGTCTTATCCTATTAGCCTTTAACTGTTTACTGCTGAACAGAAATCTTTCCCTTGAGGGGTTCTGTTAGTAGTTGCCACACTTGGCAGATGGGTTAACAATTGCAATTAGGCTTTGGTGATGTTTTACGATGGACGCTGCAGCCAAAATCTCTACTATTAATCCCTTAGTCGTTTCTCAAGACACCCACGGGAAAGGAAAGTGTGGTCTATTCTATACCGGGACCACAAGTCAAGTTTCCTATAATCACCATAAACATACTTACACATAACATCCAGAAATACAGTAGTATTAACAGAGCCGTGTCTATTATATGCTTCACATAAATAATTCCCGCCGTCCTTCCTCTGTACCGGACCCAGCAGTAACGTGTTGGATGACGACAGTATCAAAGAGTTGTTGGTGTGGTCCTTGCTGGTGGACTTTGAGGAGTGTTCCCGGCGCCACGAGTAGCTGGGCATTGGGAAACCTCTGAAACAATGGTATATTTCATTATAATACTACACGTTCTTAATTTTTTATAATCATCTTTTTTTTTTAATTGATGATAATGAAATGGTAGCAGCCAGCAGCAGTATTTCCGAACTGATACGACATCATAACCTTCAAGAGCACATTCCTTTTTAAAAGGCCGGCAGCACACCTGCAATGCCGTTGGTGTTGCGGGTGGTTATGGGCGGCGGTAGTCACTTACCATCAGGTGAGCCGCATGCTCGTTTGCCCCCTGTGTTGTAAAAAAAAAGAAATGGTAACTCCGCCCGCGCTATCGGTATACACTGGCGGGGCACCAGTGAGTGATGATAGGTGAGGATGAAGCCCATTGTGACGAATTTGACAATAATTAATCACGATGGTTTCCAGGAGGAACCGCGTGGAGATTGACCTGACAGTATATTGCTAGGAAAGGGGATTGACGTCCCCATTACTAACAATTCTTCTCCCCCCTTTATAATCATCTAGTCTCAAAATAACTAAATGTGTGAATGTTAATGGGTTATTAAGGAAGTGCTAGAAAATAGTTTGATGGCATACATACCGGGCGGAGCAAACAACCTTGGCAGGTATTTCATTTTCAATGACAGACACCACTTTCGGGGTGACAGTTATGTTTTCTGGCTCGTCTGTAATAGAATTCACGTAAATTAAAATGCGATTAAATTGAGAATTTACTGAAAAGACTGCGACGGCAGGATTTTCATAGTTGTTATATTTGTCGAGTTAGTGATGGTAGATGAGCAAGGAACATAGAGGGGAGACTTTGTACAAAAGTCGATTGCTTTTGCCTCTGTCCCATTCGTGTTTCCACTGTAAAGCAGTTGTTTGCATGGCTGCGTTTCGGTTTGAAGGGTGGGATATGGCGTGAATTTACTGGATACGGAGGAATAACACCTGAGTCCTCAGGAACGGCAACGCATAGGGGGTTTCATGGGCGAAACAGTATACTCTGTTATGTCCATGCTACTGCTCATGTCTATAGGCGACGGTTACCACTTTCCAGCAGGTGGGCCGTCAGCTTGTTTGCCATTCTAAGTTGTATAAAAAAAACCCTGCTTCTAGATAGATCGGTGATGTTTGGAAGATAGCTGGAAGTGGATCACACATGGTGAATAGCGTTAGGGAAGGTCTATGTCCAACAGTGGTTACTTTTTATCATAGGGTGATACGTTGTAAACAGTCGTTTGTAGTACCTCTGCCTTAACCATATTTTTATCGTGAATCAGTTATGCTTGCATGGCTGGGTTTAGGTTTGAAAACAGGGATATGGCAGTTTAATTATAAGACACGAGTTTGTAATATCGTAGTCTTCAATGTATCATCATTATATCTGCCTTTAACTGTCTTGGGGTTTACCTGTAGTTGCCATGCTTGGCTGGCGGATTGGCAAACGCAGTTTGACTTTAAAGATTTTTAAAAGGGACTCTACTGCCCATCCTTCACAATCCCTTAGTTGCCTCTTACGACATCCACAGTAAAGGAAGAGGTGGCCTATTCTAGGCCAAGATTTCGAGCTTAATATTGTATTCTGTAATATCCTAGTGCTGTTCATGTGTATAGGCGACTGTTGGCACTGCCCCTTGGGTGAGCCGTCAGCTTGTTGGCCTTTGGCTGAGTACTGGTACTAGGTAATATAGTAGAGAGATAAGAGACGGACACTCGACGGCGAACTTGGTGGTGCTGTTGACGGGCGGGCCGGCGTCGTTGCGCGACGAGCGGCACGTGTAGGAGGCCGCCGCCGCCGCGCGGGACAGCGCGTGCCCCGGCCACGCCGACATATTCCAGTGCTGGCAAGCAAACAATCATGCATCATATAGATAGAGGATCCAGCATGAAAAACTGGTCAACTACCAGACGGAGACTTTGTACTAAAGCCGTTTGCTTGAGCACCTCTGTCCTATTCGTGTTGCTACTGTGAAGCAGCTGTGTTTCGGTTTGAAATCTGGGATATGGCAGTGAATTTACACGGTACAGAGGAATAACACTTGAGTCCTCAGGACTGGCAACGTATGGGAGGTATCATGGGCGAAATATTACACTCTGTTATGTCCATGGTACTGCTCATGCCTATAGGCGACGGTCACTACTTACTATCAGTTGTGAAATATGTAGTTCTGTTAATTCATCTGTTCATTTAAGACCATTTGTACCAGATTTCGAGTAAATTAATTAATATTATTATTAAGAATTATACAAGTTTCTAACTTGAGGGTAGACTCATTTTTTGTTCAACTTGATGGTATTTTATAACCGGTAACTGCTGTAAATCTTTAGAGTTTAGTCACGTCAACATTTATATATTTTGTTTGAAAACAGGAAACTTACCAGCGTAGACTCAGTTGCTTCGAAGTCGTTCCTGTTGACTTGTGGCTCGATTTTCCTCGTGACCACATAGTAACGGTCATTCTTATCGTCGATCACTTGGCCGTCTTTCAGCCACTGCACGCTGCACAGTGGAGCGCATTCTACCGTGCACGATAGTGATATGTTCTGAAAGCATACAGAAATAAATGTATAAATAAGGTGGTCAGTTTATAAACTTTCGTCACTAAAGCCATCACAATCCCATGAGTATAGTATTTATAAGTATAACAGCTGTTGGTCGCAACTTAGTCATGGGTTTCGGATATAAGTAACTATTTATATTGTCGTGTGGTCCCGTGGGTGTCTTGAGAGACGACTATGGAAGGGCGAGGGATAAAACATCTCCAAAGACCAACTGCGGTTGCCAATCCGCCTGCCAAATGTAGCAACTACTGGAAAACCCCCCAAGGGGGAGACATATGTTCATCAGTGGCCAGTTAAAGGTATAAGCATTTATAGGTGGTGTAACAAGATAAAGCATACATCAGTTTTTAAGTTAGATCTTTAGAAATACAAATGTGAAAACAACGTTTAATTTGGTGTAGTAGTTTTTGCGTGATGCTGGAACAAACATACAGACAGACAAACAGACTCCTATTAAAATCTCTTATATCAATTTTTCTTAATCGTCTCCCGTGTACATACATTGTTCAGTTACAATTTTATTGTATTAGAATGACAGAAAGATATATAAATAAAATAAACACCTGAGACTTGTAAAGAGCTCCGCTGTAGTGGTTCATTGCATATTTGAAGCTAGGTGGCGCTGAAAATACAAGAATAAATAGTATATTTAAATACGTTTGTTATGGGATTAACACGAAACTAAACCATACAAAGAATAATTCGAATCGGACGACACCCTTACGAACCATAGTTTTTTTTACCATTTTGTTTCAGAACCCTAAATAGGTTTTTTTTGTGATTTTGTTAATAATAATGTCATAAATTCTAAAACGATTTTCTCAATAATTTTTAGTAGCCATAAGATCAAACGCAGTGTGAGACGATCCACTGACTAGATGAAGTGACGACTTCGAATGCATTGCAGGGAGTCAGTGGATGCAGGTGGCTCAGGACCGTTCTTTATGGCAGTGTATGGGGGAGGCTTATGTCCAACAGTGGACAGATAATGGCTGAGATGATGATGAAAGGGTTAATGTCCGTGTTAGAGCCCAAAACTAATATAATTTTGTGACGATTAGAATAGTCGTTTTTATTCCTAGAGCAAAAAATTGCCTGTTACGTAGCAAAATCAAATAGAGTGTACACGCGATCTCGTGCTCTAACTTTTAGTATTATTTAACGTCTCTATAGACAAAGTCCCACCCCCTGAAAAATAATCTAGAGGTTAGGCTATGCCTTTAAAAAAGACGCATAAGTCCTTTCAGGTATGTCTGCGAATCCTAAATAGTTCATAGATGTGTTCAGGACTTTACTTTCTTTGAAAATGAGTTAAATATTTATATAAGAATAAGTTTCCTATTGTAATCTTTTGGAAGAAACAATAAAGAGTATCTATCTATCTATCTAAATATACTTCTTGGCTTTTGGTCTAGAATTAATGATCTTACCAAGAACATCAATAGTAGTGGTAGCCGGTTCTCCTTCTCCTCCAGCGTTGATGCCCCGACACGAGAAGCTGGTTCGATGGTCGAGGGTCACCGGGTCGATGGTCCAGTTCTGGGAGACGATATCGCTAACAACTCTTCCGCCACGATGCCATCGGAATCTACAATATGGATTTTTTAGTAGTTGGAAAAGAAACATTTTATGAATAGCATTATAGACAAAATTGACATACAATGAGATATTGGATGGATAGATGTACTGGAGGAGACCTAAATTAATCTATTGTGATAAAACAGATCGTGTTCTATTTGACCGAGTAATCAAGAGTTTCTAAACCTGGCGAGCAGGAATGAGACGAGCTATTAAAGTCTAGAAAGCAAGATGTATGCGGGTATATTAGTCTTTTGGCACTCGGTTTTCTTTATCTATTCCACAAGGGACTTAGCTTGAAGATTGATCACCATGGACATCACCGAATACTCTATGATGGACATGGACCTCTAACATGTTACTCGTGTTATTCTTGATGAATAGAATGTTATGTCTCTGTAGCCTGTAATTTTGCTGGCATACTCCATCCTTGAAACCGAAATACAGTGATTTTGAGGCAAAAACACGAATGAGATAGAGATACCAATACAGACGACTTTTATACAAAATGCCCTATTATTCTTGCAACTTAAAATAAGTTCATGGTTCACTTGATCGAAAGTGGAGAATGTTACCAGTATTTGACGGAAAGTAGTAAATATTAGACTAACTACAAACATGAATAGGATCATAGAAATTACACTGAGACGCCTGTAATATCTGATATGCAGCCATTCTTGAGGACTCTGTTATACCTCCGTAACCTACTAACTGTCATATTCTACCCTTCGAACCAAAACACGGTCATGCAAGCAAGCTCTTCACTGGCAGAGCGATAAAGCTTCCTCCAGAAAAATTACTATTTTAGTAAATGGTATGAAGTTTTAATGTATCTCACCTATGAGCCTCAGGCCTACCCTTCTCCTTGATACTGCAGCTGAGCACAAGACTCTTGCCTTTGACGACTCGCCACGGCGAATACGTCAACTTAGCAGGACCGGGTGGATCTGTAAAGAGCACAGGTATGTTTTCTTTAGAAGAAATCGAAGATAGATTAAAGAAGATCAGTGTCTTTAAAAAAAAAAACAAAAATATCTATTACTAACGTACTGACAGCATTGCCCACCTTTTTTATATTTGTTTTTTGTTTTGTTTTTTATTTTATTCTTATAATAAATGTCTAAGATGTAATTTTAAATAAGTCCCAATAAAAGAGGAGAAATTATTAAGTAAGGCTTATTAATCTCTGCGCCAGAGTTACGGAGCCCAACCAGATCATTTGCTTCCGCATGGCCTGCTGCATCGTCGTTCGTAGAGGGCCCTAACGATGCAATCTGAATGGGCGCGTCCTCGGAACGGTCGATCTTTAGTAGGCTCTTAGCATTTCCCTAAGACGACCCTCACGGTCTGTGGTGCTATCGTCCTTAAAAGGTTTTGACGAAGCTAGTCCGCTTAGAAGCAGATGATGCCCAATGGACACCTGATCGTTGTAATTTCTCGCCTGCCAGTATGTCAGCAGCTTATAAATAGATAGATGCATGTACCGCGGGGCGCCATGTTGGTGATGTACTGACAGCCACTACATTGCATACTTTTTCTATATGTATTTCTTTTTATGTTCTATATTTTACTCTTATTATAAATATCTAAGTAATTTGTAATTGTAAAGAAGGCATTATTATATAATTCATATATTAAGAAATTTAGGTTTATGGAATTATAGAATATATTTTAGATATTGCCGTGTATAGTGCCGAATGGCCTTGGTATGGCCCACCCCTTCCATTTCGGTGGGTGTCGTAAGAGGCAACTAAAGGAGCTGAATAGTCGAGGCATGACCAGCAGCGTTCATTTTAGAACATTATCAAAGCCTAAATCATCATCTTCCTACCCTTATCCCAATTATTATTTGGGGTCGGCGTAATATGGTTTATTTATGGTATCCATATTACAAAAGAATTTAGCTTATAGTTTTACGACCGGCCGCCTGCCTGACGTCAACCCTCTTTGGGAATTATCAAAGCCTAAATACAGTTGGTAATCCACCTGCTAAACGTGGCAATTACTGGTAAACCCCGCCTTTTGGGAGAGGCCTGTATTCAGCAGTGAACAGAAGACGGCTGATAAGATATCTGGATAGATAACTGGACAGTATAGGGGGGAGGGATTGTCAGTAAAGGGGAGATTAGTCCCCATTGCTATCAATATACCGTATCAGGTCGACCTCCACGCAATTTCCCTTGGAAACCATCGTGACTAATTTATCGTTGAATTCATCACGATGGGCTAACTGACCTGCCTTTTCATCATCACCTATCATCTCTCACTGATGCCCCGCCAGCGTATAATCGATAGCGCAGGCGAGGTTACCATGCCGTCGGAGATGTGGTGAGTGCGAAAGCGAACCCATGTCTCCAACATATGGCACCTCGAGGGTATATCGTCTGGTTTTTGGTGGGTACACTCCCATATTACGGGGGGATTCCCACAGTACCCATTCACCCCCCACAAAGTGTATGGGTCTGCATAAAGCATTTTCCAGACGTTAAAAAAAGGCGGGGTTACCATTCCATTATCATCCATTAAAAAAAAAAAAAACTGGACAGCACATTAAAATAAGAATATACTAACATATAGGCTATAGAAGGTTTTAACAAATGCCCTCTAAAGCTCATTTGATATGGAATAAGTTCATTATTTAATATTTTCGAAAGAAGTGGACCAAGAGTGCATCCCTGTGGTACACCATATTAACTAAATGAAAAGTGTAACCATTTACAATACTTTATCACATTCCTTTATCAATTTTCACACAAATACAACCGCGATTAACGGATTACCGTCTCGCCATTGAGACGGGCGAAGAAATTTTTCGATAATAAAACATCGATAACACTCCAAGGTATTCGCTTATCAGGCACATTACTAAAATAGTATATTATAAACGTTGTATTTCTAAAACTTGCGATATCTAATGAATTATTTAATGGGATTCAAATGGATTATTTTTAATTGTGAACGTGAAAGCGATTATTATCTCTTAGCGTATTAAAGGCTCAATTAATCATCGTCATACGTGGAATATGCATAAATACACGTACAGTTTTACCAGAGGGAGACTTTGTACAAAAGTCGATTGCTTGGGTACCTCTGTCCCATTTGTGTTTCAATTGCAGTTGTGTTTGCATGGCTGTGTTTCGGTTTGAAAGGTATGGCGTGAATTTATTGGGTACAGAGGAATAACACCTGAGTCCTCAGGAATGGCAACGCATGGGGGGTATCATGGACGAAACAGTACACTCTGTTGTGTCCATGGTACTGCTCATGTCTATAGGCGACGGTTAACACTTTCCATCAGGTGGTCGTCAGCTTGTTTGTCATTCTAAGTTGTATAAAAAAAAGTCATAGTATTTTGTATGGAGTAGCTTTCTCAGCATTTAATATAAACAAAGTAATTGCACACATATTGCAATGTGGTTTCAGCATAGAACGGACCACTCTTTCCTTTCCCGTCGGTATGGTAAGAGGAGATTAAAGGAACTTAATCAAATCCTAACTGCGGTTGTCAACCCGCCTGCCAAAATTTGCACTTGCTGGCACAATCCCAATTACTGGGGAGGCCTATGTTCAACAATGGATAGTTCTTGGCTGATATAAAAATCTGCATCTACATACATACACTGTATAATACTATAAAGAGGAAAGATTTGTATTTTTGTGTGTATGTATGTTTGTAATGAATAAACTCAAAAACTACTTTGCCGATTTCAATAATTCTTTCACTATTCGAAAGCTACATCCACTCTGAGTAACATAGGCTAGAAAAGATTAGAAACCCTTACTAAAACTTTAGTAACGTAACTCAAGGTGTAAAAAAATGCTATAAAATATCTTTGGTCGCGTGCGCTGCGGAAACTATTGGTGATAGAACAAAAGTATGTTCTACAATATTTAAGAAAATATCAATAACTATAAAAAACGTCGCGACACTCTATGTCCAACTATTATCGTTGTCACAATAACCACTTTTTTAAAATATTGTAAAAATGTCTACCCGTGCGAAGACGGGACGGGCCGCTAGTAATAAATAAATTGTACGCGACAGAAGTCACGTATTACGACCGTGTGGTGATGGAGCTTAAGTACAATGTATCACCACTCGGAGAGAAGGTATTGTTAGTTCTAAGAACTCTAGTCCAAATTGTTAATAGGGTATCTATTTTGTACCATACCTAGTAGGTAAGTTGTTACTATTATGTATGATCATGAATAGCACATTGGATACCAGGATGGCCATGGTAACCCTCATGCAATGCTATTCCTAAGGATTTAAACGCTGTAGTTTACGAAGGTACCCCGTAACTTCACTGTTATATCTCATCATTTATGAAATAATTTTTATGTAATGGTATTTAAATTTAAACTTACAATTCACAACCAATTCTGTCTTTTGGCTCTCGTTGCCCCAACCGGCGTAGTTCTTGCCTTTACAGGAGTAATTCCCATGAAAACTTTTCGTTGTGTCCTGAAGTAGTAGCATTGACGGGTCCACTTCGTTGCATAAGTTTTCTGTAATCAAAAAACATTACATTTATAATTAAAGATTTTGAATCACGAGAAATGAGACATCACAAAATTTGATACGAGAACAATTCGGGAATTTTTTTTTATGTAACTTAGAATAGAATGAAAAGATGCTTTTTTAATTACAAAGCACTATTATACCTACTTGTACAACAATTAGTCCATTACCTTAAGGTTGTCTTGAAAAGATTGCTCTCAGCAATAAGGCCGCCTTACTGTACTTATACAATTGTATCGTTGTGTTTGTAAATTGTCTTGCTTATTTCCTATATTGTATAATGCAAATAAAGTATACTCATTCATTCATACTCATTCAATGAGAAATAAGTTGATGGAAAGTGGTATTCGTCACCTATAGACATAAACAGTACCATGGACATAACAGAGTATATGCTTTGATACGCCTCACGCGTTTCCATTCGAAAAATATGCGCGAACAAAATAACAATCGGAGATTTATATATTTATTTACAAGAAACATGGTAAGTGTACAGATGTTAACAATAAGTGTAAGTCCTCATATTTCGCCATAATTAGGCATGCAAATATTAAAACTTAAAAAGAATAAATGTTAATTAAATGAGTCATTAAAATTCATAATGTTATATAAAAAATTACATCAAAATATGTCAAACACTTGTCAACAATAAAAAAAGAAAGATTGATAACTGATATGGAAGGTTGTGGAACTTCTGGTAGTAATAGTGGTGGTCAATCTTCGAGTGTTGGCAGTCACACACATACTAACGGTAGCGGAATTGAACGTAATAATTCTAATCATGTAAATGGATATTTGGTCTCATTTTCTTTGTTAGAACACCGGAACTCCGGGTAGAACGGAGGCAGGCAGCTAAGTGATAGCAAAGATAATAAAAATGTGAATTTAACATGCTCAGTACTAATTTATATTATGACACTAATGCCTATGGCAAATTTTATTCCCTAAAAGATATCCAATTTTGGATAAAAGGAAACGCACTCTGTATTATTACTAAGGGACGTTCGAGTTTTCTCGGAAGGTAGTTCTTTCAACAGAAAATATTTACATACCCAAATGTCAGGTAATAAAGATAAAGTAGTGTAGGTAAAGAACTCACTAGATGGAGCAACGAGCGTTAAATTAAATGTGTTACTGGAAATCGATGTACCACTACTTCATTGTTGCCTCTTTAGCTTACCTCTTGTAATCATATCTGTTGTGTTCATATTTTTATGAAATTCTATCATTGAGGGGAACAAAAAAGAGCATTTGTTCATTCATACTGCCTTTAAATGACAACAGTTTTGGACTATAAATACCATCTTGCATTATACCCTAATTCTGATGCAAAAATGCTATAAAAATAATTTTAGTAGACTTAAGAGGACAAATGACTTGTTTAAAATATGGCAAGGCATGGTTCTTTTTTATATTTTGCCATATATTACTCAATGCATTTGTTAATAGTATTAAGACTGATGTATGTCTGTTAGTGTATAGAAAAATCTGCAATGAAAGCATTAGGGGAACGTTTGTCATCTCTTATAACACATATGTCTGCTAATTTTGGATCTCTGTTGGTCATGCACAATGCTCAATGTAGATTTGATAAAATTACTATATATTTTCACGTCAATAAAGGCAGAGAAGAGGGTGTTTTAGAACTTAATTTAAAATATTTCGTCTATTTTAGGGTTTGGCGTTGTGTACATCCATTTAATGCCACAAAACACAAAATTTTGGGATTTTTCCCATGTGCGTAGAAAGCGTATTCGTTAGTTTTTTTTTCTGGTGCACAAGTAATTAATAGACCCCAATATTATAGACAATTCAGGCTTTATTACAAGGGGAGTATAGTTTCTCTTGAACAATGAGAATAAAATGTATGAGAGAGTCTGTGGAGAATTTGACTCAGTAATTTGTAAATCTTTCTAATTTGTATAATATGTTACCTTCTCCATCAGTTCCATTGCACTCCGGCAAATGCTTCAGAATCTCTCCATCCAAGTACCAAATAACTTCATCAAGGATTGGTGGGTTGCCAGTCATCACTTCGCAGGTAAGAGTAACATTCTTGTGGTCAGTCTCCAGAATAGGACTGGGGGAGCTCATGGTTAATCGAACTTGGGGTTTATCTGGAATTAAGAGATTATTAGATGTGTGATTAGTAAGTATATGGTTGTCTTATGGTACTACTACTACTCGTGTGACAGTGTCGCCCTCTAGTGTCAATAGTTTCTAGGCCGTCTTCGTTGTACACGAAAATATATACGGTTTAAAAACTTTTGCTAGAAGAAACAAAGAATCTTCAAAAACGTAAAACGAAAATATATATACCATGACTTAATTACTATTTTACAATAAATAATGGGTTTACTTCTTATGTAAAAAAATAAGAAAAAGATATATTTATCAATTAAGAAGAAGGAAGAGAAATATCCAACTCCCTTTAGCAACTTCTCAATGATGCTAGCTAAGAAGCATCGAAGTTAGTGACCCAGGTATAATCGTTCCAGGAGTTGAAGTCAGGGCAAAGGGTTCACCTCAAGGTCCCTACCTAAACTCTCCTTGGAGCGCTAAGAAGGCCTGTGTAAAAGTTGTATACGAAGGCTTCTGACGACGCCTTTTAGACAATAGGTTTACGTGACCCTGGTTTGCAGCCAAGCGTTGTGCATTTGAGCTATCTTCATTTTGTTCTACGGCGATGGATAGATACTCTATCATCACTTTCATCATCCTATCATGACAGTGTATGAATACAATATTTTATAATTTCTTTGAATTTCCAGGATATATTGAGACGACTAAAGACTTTAGTGCGAAAGACAGAAAATTCAAAATAAAAACCCATATTAAATTGCCTGATCTTATCGAAGAAAGCTATTTCCAAAAATAATACCGTAATGGATTACTACGATTTTATGCGATAAAGCGCAATTTAATACATTTCTGTTGGAATATTATTCAAGTCATTAGAAAAACCTTAATCCGTTGAGTCAGCATCTAATGGTACTAATAATGTTGAAATTTGAATACTGATTTACATTCACAGTTCAGCATAATCGATAGAAATGATTTGTCCATGGCATTCTTTATGCCTTGTCATTCCTGAGATCTCTTATGTTTACAGGTATAGATACCCTATCGGTATGAGCGATATCGAAATGGGTAATGACCTTGTTTTCTGGTAATAATATTTAGAAAACCCCAATATAATAAAATAGATATGGGAGCGGTACGCTAGTATATTAGGTTCATATATAATAGCGGAATACTGGTCTGATATCTATATTTCTTCATTACACCAATATTTAATACATTCATTAATTGTTCAATATATAAATATTATAACTACAATATTTACATATTGCTATATATTATCCAACTTCTAGATATAATTGCCATTAGGGAATAGTTTTAAAAGTGAACTGTATTGAATTCTTATTTATTTACAAAATATTGGCGATTGCCAGTAGCAGATCTTAAATTACAATTGCCCAGCAATATTTACCATTTCGGTGTGTAAATGTTTTTTTTTTACAATTACAAAAATAATAATCATAATAACATTAATTACATTTAAAAATTAATTATTGTAAATTACAATTATGAATAATAAGTCAATGTTACGTTTTTACAATGTCAAGTATCATAAATTACAATTATTTTAAATGTCTTTTACAGAATAGAAACTATTATTAATTAGGTAGTCAAATAGTCTTCCTTTAAATTGTGTGTTGGTCATACATACATAGCACATTGACGTGTATGCTGTCCTCACTGGTCCCGTTTCCCACAGCGTTCGTCAGCAGGCAAGTATAGTTGCCCGTGTCGTCCCCTCTTGCGTCCGCTATGATCAGGGAATGCTGATCAGTCGTACCGCCTTGGTAGTGGGACGTGTCGTTCACGTTTACCTCTTTCCCGTCTCTGTACCTGGAAGTTCAAATCATGTTTTTATGCAATGTAAAATAGCAAGCAAGCTGACGGTCCATTTAATGGAAAGCGGTAGGGGAAAGGGATTGTTAGTAACGGAGACTATTTAGTACTATTGTTAGCAATATATCCTATAGGATCAACCTCCAGGTAGTCCCCCTGGTGTTTTCATCACGATGGGCTAACTGAGCTGCCTTTTCATCCTCGCCTATCATCTCTCACTGGTGCCCCGCCGGCGAATATATACCATTAGCGCGGGTGGGGTTACTGTTCCATTATCATTGATTTAAAAACCCTGGTGCCCCGCCAGCATTTATGGTTAGCATGGGCGAGGTTGAAATTCCATTATCATCCTATTAAAAAAATTTAAAGCGGTAACTATCATTAATGCTTTTTTTTGCAACTTAGAATGGCAAACAAGCTGACGGCCCACCTGATGGAAAGTGGTAACCGTCGCCTATAGACATGAGCAGTATCATGGACATAACAGAGTATACTGTTTCGCCCATGATACCCCTCATGCGTTGCTATTCCTGAAGACTCAGGTGTTATTCCTCTGCACGCTGTATATTCACTGCCATATCCCACCCTTCAAACCGAAACACAGCCATGCAAACACAGTTGCTTCACGGTAGAAACACGAATGGCATAGAGGTGTCCAAGCAAACGACTTTTGAACAAAGTCTTTCTATGAATGTGTATGTAAACAGTACGTGTAGTAAAGAATAAAAAAATAGATCCTACCTTTAATCAAACTAACTTTATGCATGCAGATCCGTTACAGACTCTTCTAATATTAGAAGAGTCTGTAACGGATCTGATATGGCATTTTACACGTATTGTACATGTACAAAGTAGCGGGCAAAAAGCTAGTCATCATCTTATAAGACTTCACCAGAGGGAGACTTTGTACAAAAGTCGATTGCTTTGGTACCTCTGTTCCATTCATGTTTCAACCGTAAAGCAGTTGTGTTTGCATGGCCGTGTTTCGGTTTGAAGGGTGGGATATGGCGTGAATTTACTGGGTACGGAGGAATAACACCTGAGTCCTCAGGAATGACAACGCATGGGGGGTATCATGGGCGAAACAGTATACTCTGTTATGTTCATGGTACTGCTCATGTCTATAGGCGACGGTTACCACTTTCCAACAGGTGGGCCGTTAGCTTGTTTACCATTCTAAGTTGCATAAAAAAAACTTAGTGCTAGCTTTATTTATTAATTGAAACTTTAAGTTTGTTGGTTAAACAAATTTTTACCCGCGACTTCGCGTGACCAGGATATATTTACTGACCAGGGTAAAATGGCTTTCTCATATAGTATTTGTACACCAAATGTCATAGTGCTTAGTTCAGTCAAAGTGTTATCTATACCTTCTTGTAATAAATCTGTAGAGAGGTCAATTCTGTACATGAAATATATTTCCAAAATAACTATCAGGCGGTGATTAGTGATCGATACTGATGGCAAAAATGCAATCAGTAAAATTTTTGTCTGTCTGACTGTATGTTCGTTACAGAAACAAAAACTACTCGACGGATTTTAACGAAACTTGGTACAATTATTTTTCATACTCCTGAGCAGGTTATAGTACACTTTTCATCACGCTACGATCAATAGGAGCAGAGCAGTGAGGGGAAATGTTAAAAATGTCCACCCGTGCGACGCCGGGACGGGCCGCTAGTGAGGTAATAAATAAATAAAAAAACTCATTCAAAATCATGATTATTCAGTACAGTTATAGGCTATTTTGTAAATATTTTTCGGCTGCTCTCGATTTCCTTGGGATCCGATCATCAGATCCTAACTTGGTGACGATGGAACCGCTTTAGGAGCATATTCTTTTTAATACAAAAATATTTTTTTAAAATCGATTCACTACTGTTGGAGAAATCGGTGGAGATACATAAAAAAATATACAATCGAACATATAACCTCGTTATTTTTTGAAGTCGGTTAATTAACAATTTACTTTGGTTACAACAGAATATCAGTGTTTTGCTCTTTTGAGGGCAAAGCAATAAACTGAGTTGTGACCATATTGTGTTACTACGATACACGCATGGAAGAAGGAAATTGTTTTATATATTTTGTTTTTTGTTCTTTTTTTGTTGCTTTTTTGTTTTTCATTCTCTTATCTCTTTTACAGTGTGTGTCTGCATTATGTGTATGTTTGTATTATAATTTGTGTGCTGTAAGTAATGGAAATAAATTATCTATCTACTTATTCAAATGAGCAGTAACAAATGACTCCATAAGCGGCACCCGTCCACGAGTATGACGCTTTGATAATTATTCTAAAAGGACAATTCTACTTACCAAACAACGTGATTCAGCGATGATGGATTGCTTTCGTATTCGCATTTGAGCAGTAACTTGTCACCTTCCACCACTGTAATGTTTGTTGGATCAACTCTGACCATCGGGGGATCTGAAAACCATTGTACTATTATTAAGAGGGTCCAACTAATTTTCTCCACTGAATAATTAATGTTCAATCTAATTTCCACTGTGGCATCTTCGTTGTCAGAGCGAGTATTTTGTAAATGAATTTGGACAGAGGAGTCCAGAGCCGAGATATTTTTATTAGATACTAGCTGATCCGGCGAACTTCGTACCGCCTAACAGTCGATTCTTTAATTTTTTAGTTTTTTTTTCTATACATATTCTGCTATTCGCTGTGTTTCCCTAATGTTACCATCGTATAAATTTTGACAAATATACATACATACATACATATCTGTCACGCCTGTCTCCCATTAGGGTAGGCAGAAACAATGGAACGCCAAATGCTTCGATTCAAAAACAAACCTCTTTCGCTTCTTCCACATTCATCAATCATTGACAAATATTGACATCAATATTGCTACGATACTAGAGTCACTCAGTTGTTTTGTCTTCCCGGAACCTCTCCACTAATATTTGAACTTTATAATATGGTATTAAAGTTCAAATTTACTTTTAGGTATTATTACGAAACGTTTGCATGGGAGTACAGAAAAGTGTTGTTTTCAGATTTTTATTCGGGCATTTTTTTTAAATTTTCTCCCCGTAAGAACCATTCTCGTACTTCAAGGGATATTCTGAAAAAAGAATTAGCGAAATCGTTTCAGCTGTTCTCGAGATTTTGCGCTTAGCAACACATTTAGCGATTCATTTTTATATTATAGATTATTGATAATGAAGCGTATAGATGTAAGGTAAACTTTTTGACCTAGTAGTAATAAGAAAGAAGCCTGTTAGTAATAAGATAGAACAAAAAAATGACTTAGGTCAAGTAGATTTTAACTAAAAAGTTGAAGTACGAAATTGTTTACTTGTTTCTTTAAGTGCTGTCAAGTAACTTAAGACACCAATTAAGAGAGACTGGTAAATAATAAAATACTTGATGGAGTAGCTGTCATTCTCTTTATCTAGTCGCAACGTTAGAAGGAAAAATAGAAAAATGATAGAGACAGAAAACAGAAGATGATAGAAAATTTTGCAGAACATTACGATGGCCGGTAATACGCCATATCACGTTTGGAACTCTAATAATCTCTTACCGCGTTTTCCAATCGGAATCGTAAAGAAGGGACTTTGAGTTTAATTTTTTTAATAGTCCGTGTTTCTAGATATTTATTGTAGATTAAAGTAATTCTATCTATCTATCTAATTTGTCACATAAAAGATCAGACTTTACTGGGTTAATCTGTGAAGGTTAATTTTTTACGCAAGTTAAAATACCAAACATGCTTGCCACCTGTTAGAAAGTGGTTACTGTGGGCTATAGATTTTCTATTAGTTTTAATTTTCTTACATATTCTAGCTCTATAGGAATGAACAATGCCATAACATCACCAAAAATATCACATAATACACTATAATATCCATGGTACTCTCCATTGCTATTTCTGAGCATTATCAAATGTGCGTAAAGCAGTTTTAATGCAATTCAACTAAAAATTAGGTAATACTGGTCGTTAGTATAATTTAAATAAATTTTTATTTCAGAATTAATTATATTGTTTTATATAAGCTTTTGATTTTCTGATTTTCTTATTTGTATCATATATTTATTTATTTATTTAAAAATTACTCACCGCACTTACAGTCTCCCAAAACGTGTAGGGAGCCATAGGTTTATTTTACAAACTTACAAATTTTGTACAACATTTTAAAAATATATCTATTTTGTCATTAAATATGTCAATATCTGGCTGCTGAGCAATCAGAGAATTGAGCAGAGGAATAGCCTGATAAGTGAGAGCAAACTGAGTAGTATAGATATATCATCATTCTCATGAGGATGATGATACAGCAGTTAACTGTCCACTGCTGAACATAGGCCTTCTCATAAGAAGGGGGGCGAGTAGTTGCCATGCTTGGCAGGAAGATTGGCAACTGCAGTTAAGCTTTTAGAGATGTCTTAAGAGGGACACTGCTGGCCATCCTTTAACCATAAAATTCTCTTAGTCGCCTTTTACGACACCCACAGAAAGGGAAGGGGTGGCCCATTCTGTCCCGGGATCACACTACTAATTATTGTTTGTGTACTTACACCAAATTTCTAATTCCCTGGTAGCGTGCATTGGATGATCATTTGTTTCCAAGGTGACCTTATTCGCTGCTTCACAGTGAAACTTCTGGCCGTTCTCGAAGCGGGTCGCCTCGAATGTCAGATTCGATGTGGTCTCGAAGGTGGTGTCACTCTGGTGAGTTTAACATATTTTAATTAAACATCAGTATATATATTTATTTATTCAGGAATTCGTCACACGTTTTTTAAACCCACTCGTTGACGGAAATAAGACATCAGGTTACAAAGGATTTTTTTTATACAACTTAGAATAGCAAACAAGCTGACGGAAAGTGGTAACCGTCGCTTATAGACATGAGCAGTACCATGGACATAACAGAGTACACTGTTTCGCCCATGACACCCCCATGCGTTGCCATTCCTGAGGACTTAGGTGTTATTCTTCTGTACTCAGTAAATTCACGCCATATCTCACCCTTCAAACCGAAACACAGCCATGCAAACACAACCGCTTTACGGTTAAAACACGAATGGGACACGAAGAGGTATCCAAGCAATCGACTTTTGTACAAAGTCTAACTCTGATGAAGGACTCTAGAGACTTAGATATGGGGTTCTTCAAAAATACGCCTTTTTATGGTCAGCGACGTGCACGTGATGGTGTTGCAGGTATCTATATGCTTCAGTGACTGTTTACCATCAGACGGGACGTATGCTTGTTAGAAATAATTGTTTTATGGCGATATCGTAATATTAAAAAAAATCTCTGTATGAATCGAAATAAAAACATATACCTACGTTCGATTTCAAATAAGTTTTTTTTATTAATTTATTTTTTTAATTATCCAATTTAATATTGGAATAATGTTGTAAAGTTGTAATCATTTAATTTAGTAGTTTAAATTTAGTATAAATAAATATTGTACAAACATTGTATGGGCCCTAGTTTAGTTATTTTTTATTTTATTTTACTCATATTTGGGAAACAAACGGTACAATTAACATATATAACATATATTATATTACATAGTAAATAAATACTAGCTACTAAAGTTGTTACTTACATTGCACTATTACATACAGAGCACACGAGGTTTAAAATACAGTAATAAGTACAAGAAAATATTTATTTATTTATTTATTTAACACTTTATTGCACCAACATAACAGGATTTATTGAACAATTTTCAATACGTACAGTGTAGTACAAAAGGTGGTCTTATTGCTAAGCAATCTCTTCCAGACAACCTTTGGGTAGAAGGAATTAAAGCATAAATAGGTAGGTGGCGCGTTAAAAAAAAATAGATCTGTAAAAAATAATATCTGTGACAGCATAGTCATATACACATACATAAATAAACACATACATCCAAATATATACATATATATACATACATATATAAATATATATACACACATATACACATATACGCATAAATACATACAAATAAAAGAATATACTGAGAAGCAAATATTATATAGTTATATTATTCCTAATCAGCCTCTTATACATTGCATATTAAAGAATTTATTTATTATTATTTATTAGGTTACGGTTTCAGAACTGTTTTAATAATTTTAAATGAACTTATCAAGTGGCGCGTCTGTGTCAAAGGTCCTAACAATATAATCGTTAAACCACTAAAATCTGTGACATAATAAATGTAACAATTTCAGTACAAAGTGACGTTATCGCTGTAAAATTTTAATTCAGCCGCCCTGGGGCGCTTTCAGCAATCACGAACTGTCAGAGTGTCTTTGTCTCGAGTTTCGACGTGGATACGTAATTGTGGGGCGTACTGGAAGTGACCACGAACAGCCTTGGTTGAGCGTAGTTGAATAAATTGATAATTATTAGACTAAAACATTATTAAGATTTTTTTTTAGAAAAAATAGTAGAATCAATACAGTACAAGATTTTCAATTAGAAAAGTGTAATCAAAATAGGTTTGATCGTTAATTTAAATTTATTATGCATGTTTAATCAAAATAATTTAAATATAAAAGGCTTTATTCTAATTTACAACATTGTTCTGATAATTATATGAAAAACTTTAAAGGTAAAAATTCAACGTTATTGTCATCTGAAATGGACTTAAGAGGCGGCATTGCTAAATGAAACACACTGAAACACACGGTCCAAAGCTTTTAATACGGGGGCAAGAGATTGTTAATAATGGGATTACAATTCCAATTGGTAGCAATATCAAGCGTTGTCAAGGCGACCTCTACGCAGTTCCGCGTTAAAACCATCGTGGTTAATTCTTGTTGAATTCGTTATTAAATATAAACTCAATTAATAGTATAATAATTTAATGACATTTAATAATTTAATTCCATATTAATGTTAATCAAACACACACATGCTGTGGTTGCCTATAAATGTAAGAACAGTTAGCTGTAATCCACTAGTGTATTGTATTGAAATGCTTCGCTATATCTCATGTTGGTGATCCTATAAATAAATAAATATTATGAACTATATATTACATGGCAATTCGGCACACATTAGATCAGCCTTTCCCAAAGTGGGCGATAATGCCCCCTTGTGGGCGCTGCAGGCCTAAAGGGAGCGCGGTAAGAGACCCAGAAAAAAATGAGGGCGTTGTGTAGATGCTTGGGGGGTGATTTGTTGATCTTGAAGTAATAGTAGTTTTTAAGTAGGTAAAAAAAAAATTAAGTTCGCCTTTGCTAACATTGTTATTAACTTATTATTGTTACTGTATGTTTTAGTGCAATAAAGAATATATATATATATATATAAAAATGGGGGGCGCTAAAAAATAATTTCTCAAAGTGGGCAGTAGACAAAATAAGTTTGGGAATCCCTGCATTAGATCTATACATGCCCTTTGGACGACTAGTAGAATTCTTCACACTGATTTGACACGGGAGCGTAGTCTGTTACCTTAACGTATATCACTTCCAGTACATGAATTTTATATCGAAACTTTATCACCATCTAAGTATTTGCAATGTAAATGCGTATTAATTAAATATGCATAGAAAATAACAAGCCCCCCGGGGCAAGTTTGTTTTAATCGCCGTGTATGCCTTTTGTTCACGAGTTAATTTATTTAAAGTTACGTTCGTTCCGTTCCGAATGGTGCGTAACGGTTTAATTATCGAAATGCCTAATTGCTGTCCCACTAATTGCTCTATAATTTTGTCTTTTCACACGTGGTGTTCTCTGTTTGATCGCTGCTCAAATTTGTAATTGTTTACTAGCTGTATATCGTGGCTTTGCTCGCAATCAGCAAACAGTGTGATATAAAAATCTTTAGCACACATTTAACCCTTCTTTGTATAATGGTAGAAATGTCCATCAGAACATTGAATGCCCAATTATATAAAAGAACAATTTTACTTTAAGTTGTTCTTTTATACCTTCTTAATGTCCATTGCAGAAAAAAAACCATAGCTGTCAAATTTATTTTATTAACAATTTTGTGTTTAATTTTGAACATGAATTGATTTATTTCACCAATAAAAAAAAATCATGCAAAGAAGAGTTAAAACAATAATCTATCAGTAAAATTTAATATTTTTCGAAAGAAAAATTTTAATAATTATTTATTTTTATGTATACTTTATTGTTAAGTAAAAAAGACAAATTATTAGAACTATTGAGGATATAAGGGGAAAAATGTTAGGACACTTGATACGACACGACGAACTTATGAACATTATAATAGAAGGTAAGATAGAAGAAAGGAGGGGAAGAGGGAGACCGAGACATAGTTACATCAGGCAGATCAAGGAAGGAGTTGGTGTCGTGTCGTATCAAGAGGTGAAGAGACTCGCTACAAATCGTAGTGAGTGGCAAGAGCTCCACCGACAAGGGCGCAGCTCTTAAATAGAATAGATAGATAGATACTTTATTGTACACACTGATATACATAACAAATATGACAGAGTTAATCAAATGTACAAAGGTGAGCTTAACTCTAAAAGAGCTCTCTTCCAGCAACACCCAAAGTGGGAAGGAGCATCAATGTCAGCGGGTAGAGTGTCAGCGGTGTACAATATTGGGACAATTTCCTCAATAAAATCACAATATAAAGAATTATTCAATTCAAAGAACAAGAACACTAGTTTCACGAAGATTCTAGATAGAGTATGAATGAATGAATGAGTATACTTTATTTGCATTATACAATGTAGGGAATAAGCAAGACAATTTACAAACACAACGATACAATTGTATAAGTACAGTGAGGCGGTCTTATCGCTGAGAGCAATCTTTTCAGGACAACCTTAGGGTAATGGACTAATTGTTGTACAAGTAGGTATTGTATAATTATGAAAATTAATATTAGAATAAAACATTAAATACATTGGGAAAATAATTATAAGTATTAAGTTATATATATAAGTATAATAGTTAAATTAAAAATATTTAGGTGAAGTGGGGGCGAGGAATGTCAAACCGCCATACATTCGTTTAGTGCCTGTCAAGGGCTAATGCTTGTCGTGTCGTATGAAACTTCTTATACTGTGTTAACACGATGCGTCGGGGGGGGGGGGAGAGGGATTGTTAGTAATGGAGACTGAGCCATTGCTAGCAATATACCCAACTAAGTCGACCGCCTCGCGGTTCTCCCTGGAAACTATCACGGTTAATTCTTGATGGATTCGTTATGATGGGCTAACTGGCCTGTTTTCATTCTCATCTATCACCCTTCACTGGTGCTCCGCCAGCGTATCCCGTTAGCGCAGGCGGGGTTACCATACCATTTTCACCCATCAAAAAAAAAAACACGATGACCTATTTCATTTGGGAAGAAGGAACTTTTTTTTATCATTTTTGGCCTAAATACCTTTGAAAAAAATGTTCAGTTTTTTTTTTATATATATATCACGACGGTGGCAAATAAGCATACAGCCTATTTGATGGTAAACGGTCACTGTAGCCTATGGACTCTTGTAACATCAGGGACATCACGTGCGCGTTGCCTACCTTACCTACACCCTTTTTGAAGAACCTCATAATATAGTCTATAGAGGAAATCTCAGCATGGAGCTCAACACAGCCTGAGTATTTCCCCCGTGTAAAATTTCTGGAACCGCCCTGTACGCGACCATCTAGGTTTTTTTTATACAACTTAGAATGGCAAACAAGCTGACGGCCCGCCTGATGGAAAGTGGTAACCGTCGCCTATAGACATGAGCAGTACCATGGACATAACAGAGTATACTGTTTCGCCCATGATACCCCCTATGCGTTGCGTTATGTACCCAGTAAATTCACGCCATATCCCATCCTTCAAACCGAAACACAGCCATGCAAACACAACTGCTTCACGGTAGAAACACGAATGGGACAGAGGTGGCCAAGCAATCGACTTTTGTACAAAGTCTCCCTCTGGTTCAAGCGTGTGAGGACGAACTGTCGATGGCGAGCGGTGCGATGATAAAAAGCGGCTGCTGGCATCATTTCAAACAATTCCTTAGAACACAATCAGTTTCATTGTTATTCATAAAAGTCTGATGGTAAACAGGACCTCACCAATTAACTGTTCATCAATGGACAGATAATAGGTGATGATGATGAGATTAGTGAAAATGATGAAACAAATAAAAGCATTCACTTACCGATTCCACCTCTCTTTGCTGTTCCGTACATGAAACAAATAAAGTTATTATTAATCACTCACGACTACAATCATTAATGGGGTAGACATTTGACAGCTGTTGCCATTGTGGTGAATATAATACTCGGTATGCCCATATTTCACTGAGCATGTTAGAATCCAGTGTGGTAGGAGGCGAGCCTACCACAGCCACTTGTTTTAATTTGGTTTGTTATATTTTTGTATATACAACTTAGAATGGCAAACAAGCTGACAGCCCACCTGATGGAAAGTGGTAACCGTCGCTTATAGACATGAGCAGCACCATGGACATAACAAAGTATACTGTTTCGCCCATGATACCCCCCATGCGTTGCCATTCCTGAGGACTCAGGTGTTATTCCTCTGTACCCTGTAAAGTCACGCCATATCTCACCCTTCAAACCGAAACACAGCCATGAAAACACAACTGCTTTACGGTTGAAACACGAATGGGACAGAGGTACCCAAGCAAACGACTTTTGTACAAAGTCTCCCTCTGATATATATAAAATATTGGTAAATTTGTATTATTATATATAATCGAATTATTATAATTGTATTATTAGTTTATTATTTGTAGTTTTTTTTCTTTAAATCAGCAATTTATTCAAAGTTGTTCAGTGGTTTGTGTCACTGAGTAATAAACACACAAATATATTTACAAAATTTAAGATTTATAGTATTTTATATTTTGTCGTGTAGTACCGGCATAGAATAGGCCAACCCTTCTTTTCCCATGGGTATCGTGAGAGGCGACTAAGGAAGGGCGAGGGATGGCCAGCAGCGTCTCTCTTAAAACATAACAACAAAAGTATGTTCTACAATATTAAAGAAAATATCAATAACTACAAAAAACTTCGCTTTACTATATGCCTAACTATTATCGTTATGTCACAATAACAACTTTTTAAAATGCTGTAAAAATGTCCACCCGTTCGAAGCCAGGACAGGCCGCTAGTATTTTATAAAAACAATAATAAAATATTTTCAGAATATCTTACAATACAAGTACCTATATTCGTGAATCGAATGCAGCATCAGTACAATTTGATTGTACCGTTCGAACTCAGTGAGCGTCGGTCAATATTGGGGAAATTAAATAACTTATGCTACAATTAAGTTGCGGTTCGACTTACTTGAATTGAATCTTGTCTGTAAATTTTATATATAAGGCATTTGCATATATAACTTATATTGGTTTATATATATATATATAATATATATATATATATATATATATATATATATATATATATATATATATATATATATATATATATATATATTATATATATATATATATATATATATATATATATATATATATATATATATATATATATATATATATATATATATATATATATATATATATGTTATAGGAATTTAATTAACTTGCTATGTTTCGAATTTATCCGGAAGTCTTCTTCAGGGGCGTATGGCGTATGACAAACATAGTAATTCATAAAATTCCTGTTATATATATATATAACAAGTGTAATCTCTCGTATCCTGTTTCTGATATCAAGTAATTACTTAAATTAATAATGCCAATTGCAACCTACTTACATATATCCGGATATTTGTTCCAATTGCATAATATTTTTATTTGTCAACTATGAATGGATATAAGAAGTTTACTAAAAAAAACTCAACTACAATCCATATTACAGTGTTACTACCTATTTACTCGTACTCAATGAACGTCACGTTATCTACCATGGACATAACAGAGTATACTGTTTCGCCCATGATACCTCCCTATGCGTTGTCATTCCTGAGGACTCGGGTGTTATTCCTCTGTACCCTGTAAATTCACTGCCATATCCCACCCTTCATAATGTATTAACATTGCTAAAAAATGACTAGATGTGGCAGTTTTAAGATTCCATTGTTTTACTAGAGTTAACAGTTATTAACATACGTACATACCCAAAAACATTTCCAGTGAAGTTGAGTAAAACAAATTTAAATTTAAGAGTAAAACAAATTGAGCTGACCAAGTATTTTGAGTAGTTTAAGAAAATATTAATATATTTAAAGAATGTTATTGTTTCATCACCTCTTATCGATAAAACTTGGCGTCCGTTTATCGATACTTGGCTTACTGCCATCGAGGCATGCACACGACATTTTTGTTTTGGTTTAAATTGAAAATAAAATGCGGATTTGAGTAAAATGCCTGTATAAGGATATGATTAAAAAAATGTAAATATATATATATATATATATATATATATATATATATATATATATATATAAATGTATTTTTTTATACCATCATCAATATCATACCAGTTTTTAACTGTCCACTGTTGAAAATAAGCTACCCCCTTGGGGGGGTTTGCTAGTAATTGCTATGCTTAGTACATTCCGTGGTGGTTGGTCACCGTGTCGGTCCCGGTATAGAATAGTCTATCCCTTCTTTTCCCGATGGTGTCGTAAGAGGCGACTAAGGGAGGGCGAGGGATGGGCAGCAGCCTCCCTCTTAAAACATCTCCAAAGCCTAACTGCAGTTGGCAATCCGCTTGCCAAGCGTGGCAACTACTGGCAAAACCCCCAAAGAGGGAGGTTTATGTTCAGCAGTGTATCGGCACCGGCGAGCGTGTATGAAAAGATTGATGAATGTGGAAGAAGCGAAAGAGGTTTGTTTGAATCGAAGCATTTGTCGTTCCATTGTTTCTGCCTTCCCTAATGGGAGACAGGCGTGACAGATTTGTATGTATGTATATATATATGGAATTCAAAGTCAAAAATGAGAAAATTCTTCATAAAACATTAAGTTAATCATAAAGTTTAATCGTGCAAAGTTCGCCCGCGCCATCACTACGCCCAACTTTAATTCAGTTAAAAGATATCCTGGCAGTATGCTCAGAACTTGGCTGTCGCGATTTTAAATTCCCGAACGTTATATGAAACAGCTGACTGTATAGCGCTAATAGATTTTTCTCGATGTTTTTGACGTATTCAAAATGAAAAGAACAAAAGTGACCGAACAATAATGATATAACCCGGGGGAGAAAGAGATTAAATTAAAAAAAAAATTAAAAATAACAGTGACATACATAATTTCAATACAAGAAATAAAAACAAATTGAATGTTCCTTGTTATCGCCTTAGAAAAGTCAATACATCTTTCATGGGGAACTGTATACGTTTTTATAATAAACTTCCAGATGATGTTTTACATTTAAATGAAAGAAAATTTAAGACATATATAAAAAGGACTCTCTGTACAAAAGTATATTATAAATTAAATGACTATTTAAATGACAAAACTGCATGGATTTGAATTTTGTATTAATGTGAATTGTATTGTAAATGTAATTGTATTTTCTATAGTAATTATTATAGTTATAGATTGACGTATCATAAGTACCTGTAACAGATGTATATGAATAAAGATGATTGATTGATTGATTGATTGTTAGTAATGGAGACTGAGAATCCCATTGCTAGCAATATACCCAACCAGGTCGACCTCCTCGCGGTTCCCACTGGAAACTATCATGGTTAATTCCTGATGAATTCATCATGATAGGCTAACTGGACTGTTTTCATTCTCATCTATCACCCTTCACTGGTGCTCCGCCAGCGTATCCCGTTAGCGCAGGCGGGGTTACCATACCATTTTCACTCAATAAAAAAAAATGATATAACCCGAAGGATAAGCAAGCTGAAATGACAATTGGCTGGTCACACAGCTTGAAAGTCGGCAACAAGATGGGAAAGAAATGTTCTTGGGTGGAAATCTTGTACAGGGAAACTCAGTGTAAACAACCACCTACAAGATGGAGTGACGACTTCAAATGCATTGCAGTCAGTAAGCGCAGATGGCTTCTTCTGCTTCACCTGTTTCTTTATTGTCGACGTTTCGACGTGCACCACGTCGTGATCACGACGGAACTGTCAATAAGGTATGTAGGTACTATTCACCCGTAAAGGCGCGTTAAGTTCTGATTGTGTATTTGAAATAAGTGTAAACAACGCGAAAGTTTAAAATTAACTAAAAATATACATATACGACGACCGATATGACATCATAACCTTCAAGAAAAGAGAATATTCCTTTTTAAAAGGCCGGCAGCACACCTGCAATGCCGTTGGTGTTGTGGGTGATCATGGGCGGCGGTAGTCACTTACCATCAGGTAAGTCACATGCTCGTTTGCCCCCTGTGTTGTAAAAAAAAACTAAAAATATAAAAATCCGAAATGTTTAATGAAAATTTCATTGGATCACTACGAATTTCATCGGCTTCTGGTTAATAAATTATGAGCATTACATCCCCTAAATACACTTTGTAGAGTTTAATAAAAAAAAAAAAAATAGAAGAATACACCCATAAAATTTTGTTAACGTAAACAAAGCATAAACACGACGTAATCTCTCCTTTGTTCAAAAAGCTATGAACATTTTCATATGAAGCATCGCAATACATAATTAATTGTTTTAATTCTCTCGCAACGGTTATACAGTACACTGGCGGACAGTGGCACGTATAAAGTTTATAATACTGCATGATTTTAATATGAAATTTGCATAGGGTTAACATCAATCTACTTCTACACTTGAGATGAGATTTATAATTTCATAAAATGTATACTTTAAAACGAGTTTCGTTTTCATTTTAATTTGTTGTGAATAACTATCAAAATGTTCAGTTAAATTAATAAAAAAAAAAAATTGCATTACACAAATTAGTTACACAATTGTCAGTACTGCTAAGAAGCCTATGTTTAATATCTATATGCATGTACATGATAACACGAGTACTGCTTCCTACAGGACACGCTCAGCCCAGTGTAGGAAGCAATGATAAATTATGTTCTAATACAAACATACTTTGTTAAACAAATATATCTTTATCTTATCTTATCTATCTTTAAAATTTACATATATTATTGCTGAAAAATTTTACTCAGGACTGTAACCAAAGATTAATGCAGAATCAAGTAAATACTACCAGAAATAAATATTACCAGAGGGAGACTTTGTAC